TCACGTACAGTAAGAGTTTAAAAAAGTCTCTATATGTTTCACTCTTTATGAAACTAGATCCACCTACTTAGTTCAGTGTCAAATTTATATGGAGACAGGTTCAACATCTCTCTCTCCAGCTCCTTGTCCTCCTCCATCACTAGATTAAACAACATTCATTGTGTGTTAGGTACATAAAATGATCATGAAATCAGTATTTGATTATTGTTGTGAACTGACCTAGAGTGCCTGATGTTGAAGTGGAGGCAGTAGATGTAGTGGAGCCTTCTGCAGGTGATGGACAGGACTCAGCCCTTTCCTGCTTGAGGATGTACTGCTGCAGGTTGTACATCTTGCTGTATTTGATGCACTTTGGTCCTAAAATGTAAGCAGCATAACCATCCGCCCTGCTCTCCCAGATCTGCCTCCAGGTGGTTTTGGCCCTTGCAGCAAAGCCGACAATATTGTCACCCTGTGATGCCACTGGTGGAGCAGGCTTCCTGGAGATGACGTAGTTCCTCAGGTCCTGGATTTCCTGGAAGCTCCCGGCATAGTCCAGGAAAGACAGCAGGCTGTCCTTACTGTGTCCCTGTGGGTTGAAGGTCCCGTCTCTCTCCTCCTTGTCTACCTTTTTCATCAGGTAGATGGTGTAGCCAACATCATTTTCTAGGAGCCACTTGGACGATTTTCCCTTGTACTTTCCAAACTGCAGCAGGTACTCTCCCATCACTCAGTCCGACACATCCCCTCCTCGCTGGAAGACCACAGTGAGAGCACTGGTCTTCACTAGGTCATGTTTCTGAGCGGGAGACTTGTCCTGAAGCCCAGGATTTTTTTTTATCCTCATGGCCTCAACAGATGGGTCCTGGGAAGAAGCTGATGGTCTTCTCCATGATTTCTTTTCACTGCAAAAAACAATGCATATTAAGTAATATATAATAATGTTACACAGTAATAGTAGGTAGTATAAGTTATATTGTAATGTAGTAATAATTAAATCCCACTTCACATAAGACTCAGACAGTATCGATCAATGAGGGGAAGCTGTATTTATATAGAGAGATTTCAGTGACACTGTGAAAAATGAAATATGGGGTATAAAATAGAAATATGCTGTAGTATTTACCCATTCAAAATGTACACGGTCAGCTTACTGCCCCAAATATGACTGTAACGTTAGTCAAATGAATGAATGAATGAACTAATAAACTTAGATAATGATGGCAAAAAGAGAGTCAAAGAAAGCAGGATTTTGTATCAGTGACAGAGAGAAACTGAAGACCTGACAGACAGCTCTTCCAGTGTGTACAGTAATAATAATAGCAGCTGTTATAACATATAACGTTGCATACCAAATTTAATGTACTAACGTGAGCTAATGTTACGTTACATTAGCTAACGACAACCCGAGTTAGTGTAAACATTACAACGTTATAAATACAGTATGACCATATATGACTGTGAAACGTGAATTTATGAGTTAAAAAAACAATTGAAAAGTTAACTTGACGACAGATAATTCTAATCCGTCTATGAGAACAAGTGTTTGTAAACTCCTGTCGATGCTCCACTGTATGTCACTCAAAGAAGAAAACAGTCTTCTTACTTCTATCGAGGGGGGAAACAGTGCCACCAAAACCCCGCTTGTGGCCGAAAATATATTACATCTGTAGTGACAAGAACTACCATAGAGAATGAATGGGAAAAGTTAAGGAAGTTAAGGACTAACTGGTCGGACACAGCCATCGTTATTTGTGTTTACAATGAATCAAGAAACCCTTGTCTAAGTAAACGGGCAATAAGTAACACTATACAAAATGCTAGAAAACAACAGGAGAAAAAATAGAGCCCTGCGCACACTATAAACCATAAATTTAAACTTGACAATGGAGACTACAGGCAGGGAATGGGAGCTTCTCCCGTACAGTCAGGGCTTTCATCGCTCTTCCTGTAAGCTTTTTTCTTTTCTCTTAGCAAACAGCAGAGGCTGCTGTTTCTTCACTGTACACAGATCGTTGTTCAGACATTTTTTCCTCTTCAAGACAGTGTTGTTGTTTAATATTTAAGCTTTCCGGCTAGATGGAATTCATTTGATTCTACTATTGTTATTATCATTGTTGTTGTTGTTGTTATCACTTGTCCACTGACATGTTGAATTTGTGTCCTGCACACCCTGTTAATGAATTGATTTCGTTGGACCTGATTTTGGGAGAATTCACATCAGTAAATTCATAAATTAATACAGAACTAAGTTGGTCATCAAATCGTATGTACATAAATAAACGTCTTGAATGTATTCTCACATTCTCAGACACAGACCCTAATCTGACAGAATAACAGAACATTGTTAGTACTTGGATGGGAGACTGCCTGGGAATACCAGGTGCTGTAAGCTTTTTCATTTCTCTTAGCAAACAGCAGAGGCTGCTGCTTCTTCACTGTACACAGAACATTGTTCAGATATTTTCATTTTCAAGAAAGTGTTGTTGTATAATATTTAAGCTTTCCATCTAGATGGAATTCATTTGATTCTACTATTGTTATTATTGTTGTTGTTGTTGTTGTTACCACTTGTCCACTGCAGGATAATATCTAAAGGTAAGGGGCCTTAATATTGGCCTCCATAGTGCATCTGCTGTAGAACTCATTCGAGACAGATAAGCATTCTCGAACTACACCTGAGCCTACTCCCTTTTCAAAAGATTTATTAAGAATTTTAATTTTGATTGGCACTTCTTTGTTTATAACGGCTGCACTCATCAGGTCAGTGAGACAAAACCTTCTTTTCTAACCACAGTGGGATCGTATCATCAAGATTGACAGATTCACTCTCAGGAAATGCTGCCCCTTTGAAAATCTCATTAAAGCTGTCCTCAATCTGGTTATTACTTACATTTAAGCCATTTTCTGATCCAGCATTTGTCTGAGTACTGTCAAGCACATTTCTTGTTTCCTCACTCCATTCGTTATGCTCACTCATAACATACAGTGTTGGGTTCATCAGGTCTTGCAGTTCTTGCACAACAATTGTGTCTGAAAAGTGTGTCTCATCTAAAACCATCAGGACATTTGGTACTAGCTCTTGACTGGTCTGTTGAATGTCATCTGGAGGAGGTTGTTCATCTTCATCAGGTGTATGTTCAGGTGACAAGATGACTATGTCATCTGTTTCATTGGGAGAACTGTGTACTGTATCCAGCTTCCTGGTGCAAAGGTATAGTCTCAGTAGTCTCAACTTAGTTTCTTCATAGAAGTCTTCAATGGTACACTCTTCACCAATCGGCCTGTGATGGATAGCCTGCATGTCAGAGTGAAGACTTTTGAGCTCCAAATACTATGATTTCCCTTCTGTGAAAAACAAGCTCTCAGCCATAGTTTTGATCTCTCGTACTTTTGCATGTCTGTCAAGTTAAACATGCCTCGTCACTCCTCCATTTGCAGATCGAACCTGCTTAAACTCACCGTCATCCTTACTGTAGTTCTTCCAGCCTAATTCAATTCTGGCATAAGTGTTTCCCCTGTGTTTCTCTGTTCTTGTCTGTGTTTTTCTTTAGTGGAAGGGTTGCAGAGTCTTGATCTTACTTCCTCTAACAAGTGATGTTTTCTGTCCATCTTGTCTCCATCTGATGACTAAAGTTTACAACAAAATGCCACAACCACTACCCTGTCACCATAACAATTTTTTTTCTGAAGTGCTATTAGTTCTTTGTATGTCTGCATGAATTTTTATTTGTCTGTTTAAACCAAACTTACATTGTCCTCAAAAATTTTGGAGATTATGGCCCTTTTATTAAGGGTAGGGGAGTCCATTTCCAGTGAGAGTAAACAGATCAATATTGTAGAACAAATTTGTTTGCTCATTGAGTATGATATGGCAGGCTCCATGACCAAAAAGTATTAAAATTCAAATGAATACCTTATAACTACCCTTACTTCATTGTGTGCATAAGCCATCACACCATTTAAAATTAAAGTGAACATTATGAGTCGGTTAAACCAATCATCAAACCTAAACAAATAGCCAGTCTAATACATGATAAATACAAAACATGATCAATACAATACATGAAGCCCACAAGGTAAGTAACTTGTGCCCATAAGATAAGTAACTTGTGCGCACAAGATCCAAAAATGTTACCTTTTCGGACCTCATGGGCTCCGTACCTGAATCCAGTTTAAAATGTCTCATCCCATCTCTCCAGGTCAAAAACAAACCTGTTGTCCGGAATTTGAAAAGCTTGCGTTTGAGCAGGCTGGTGCATCTACGCGGGCATCTGCGTGAGACCTCCTTTTACCAGTTTCCGTAGTGTAGTGGTCATCACGTTCGTGAAAGGTCCCCAGTTTGAAACTGGGTGGAAAAAGACACCATTATTTGTGTTAACAATGAATCAAGAAACCCATGTCTAAGTAAACAAGAAATGCTAGAAAACAACAGGAGAAAAAGTAGAGCCCTGCGCACACTATAAACCATAAAAATAAACTTGACAATGGAGACTACAGGCAGGAACTGGCAGCTTCTCCCGTACAGTCAGGGCTTTAATCACTCTTCCTATTTCTACTTCTCATTTTATAATAAAAATGAGCTCATTATTATGATTATTATATGATTATGACTATTATAGTTTTTATTCTGATAAAGCAGCATTCACATGTTCATAATTTGCCTAAATACTGCCCAAATAAAGTCTGGCAAATGTGAATATGATGGATAAAATATACAGGTCAATCAGATTTGGCTACTTTTAAGAGCTCTCTGCCTCATACTGTGTTCAACATGCACTATGATTGCAGCAGTGTGAGGATGAACTTCCCTTGATAAAATGGTGGCTGATTCTGTGTTGTACATTGACATCTGGTGGTAAAGTCTAGGTATTACACTTGGAGAATTCGAGGCCAGTGTGTTACAGTAAAAAAAAATCTTGATGATTATTAAATGAGGGCACATTTCATTTAAAGAAGAGAAACCAAGCAACAGTTCGAATAAGGATGAGCTGTGAAAAAGAAAACACAATGGCAAGTGATCATTAATCAATATATTTTGTATTCCCTTGTGGACACAACTGAACATAAATATTAAAACATATAAAGGTGGATTGCATAATGCAATATCCACAGTGACAATACAGAAGAACATTCATCTCTTCGCAAACTTTGGGAGTTCAGGAGGATAGGTAAAATCTGTAAAAAATATCAATACAAGGCAGTGAAAAAAAGGAACATGCTGATCAAATTTAATTTACTCGGTTTCAATTAAATGCAGTTTTAACAGGTGTATTTTCTATTTTATTACTTCTGCCAGACAGGAAACACAACAGTTGGCCCATAAAGCTATTGGACAAAATGATACAAAGACAGCATATACACTAGATATGAAACTCCCAATGCAGATCAAAGAAAGCTCAGGATTGTGCATATCACCAAATGGAACATATAGATAGGTACCTTTGAGAAAGATAAATTAGTTTTGTTCACAGAAATGTACTTCATCTGCAGTTTTTTAAAACCTGTTTTTCTGCTTGTTTTTGAATGTGATCTGGTGTCACACACAATCCAAATGTTTTTCCTCTCTGCGTTGGGTTTATATTGTCACAATGTAGCTGTTTGCACACTAGAGGAGTAGAGTAGATATGATCATAAATCCAGATGTAGTGCAGGAATTTTAGGGTTAACACACTTAACGGTGAACGTGAAAACATTGAGCACCAAAAGTATAAATACAGGGTCAGAGCCTGAGATTGTGGAGAGGCTGTTAAATTACTGTATTGCATACTGATAACCCTACACTGAAATTTATTGTGTTATCAGGTGGTAGACTTGATATTTCATACCAGGAGCCACACTCTTCCTGAATCTACACATACAGCATCATTCATGCAGACTGTTTCATGATACTGTGCTTTGTTTTTAATAGGACACTTTGTACGTACCTGTATCACATGCAGTACAGTGCGTCTCTTTGAACTGCTCATATTGAGATGATAGAGGAATGTTAGGAGTAATCACTTGTATTGAGGTAAACACAAGTATCATGTAGTAAAGGCTGTGAAGGCTGTATCTGAAATCAGGATCTTTCAAAATAATATAAATCTTTGTCGTTGTGCTGTATGAAGTGTCCGATATATGTGTACAGCCCTACAGTATATTCATTCAACAGAGATGGGTCAACAGAACAAAAGGAAATGGTAACATGAGTTTAAAATTAAAAAATATAAATCATCATTCGGTCCATTAATATTTCAAAAGAACAACACACGACGCTATGATTCTAATGATCGCTTCTCTCTGTATAAGACAAAATAAAACAGGAACAAAAGACAAATGTATACACAGCTACGACTGCTACAAATGTGAGGGAACCACTAGTACACAGATAAACTACTTCTGTTAAAAATAAAAATATTGTTGAGAGTTGTGAGCCCTCTGTAAGGCTCAGCTTGAGGTGAAATATCCACACAAAGAAAAGTAGAGTAGAGTTTTTAAACTCTGATCCCACAACATGCACGCTTGTGATTTCTCACAGTTTCTACTGTTTGGTGTTGCTTTGAGCACCCATTAGTTATACATAAATCTTGGACTGACAGGTCAGGTTCATACGTCTTATAAAAGACTCCAGTTACTGTAGGAGAAGTCAAAGCTTTAAAGACTTGGCAGCATCAGATCCACGCCTGTCACGCTGACTTCAAACTGCAGAATCGAGTCGTACTCAGGAACTCTCTCATCCTCACTCTCTATTTTACATTGTCCATTACAGTAAGTACAAATGTCTGAAACTCAGATGAAAGTGTCTAAGTCCGGAGGGGCAGCCAGTGTCCGAGCCCTTCAAAGAACCTCCGTGCGTTTGTGATGTAGAAGTCGATGTTGTGAGTGAAGTCGGTGCAAATGTTGGAGTAAGTGTCCACCAGGGTGCAGTAGAGGGCGGTCCCGCCTATGCTGATCACCACGGTAACCAGACACAGCAGCAGTAGGATCAGGCAGGAATCTCCACCTACCTCATCTACAAGTAAGAATTGGACAAATGTGGTTCTTTATGTTGTCAAAATATTTTGACAGTTTGTCTACAGTAGCATACAGATACAGAAATCAGTTCTTGAACAAGCATTTTAAAGGTTTCCTCCACATTCTGATAGAAATGTTCACATTACAGATGAGTTCAACTGTACCTTGCTCAATGCCGTCCTCCGGCTCACTGAAGCGAACTTTGCGTTTGGAGTTCTGTTTAGTAATGTTGTTGCTTGGGGGAGGCAATCCATCCAGAGATGCTCTCCTCCTCTTCAGAATGGAGACAAGACCATCAGGGGAGGAACTCTGGAGGAGACACAGAAACAAGAGAAATGACTACTAATGTTTTCCTCTTGTCCGAGTTTTTTGGGATCCCTTTACCCAGAACCCGATGAGCAGACTGGTACTGAAATCATCCCAATGTTAAGAGTAATCACACACACACACACACACACACACACACACCCCCCCCCCCCCCCACCACACACACACACACACTATCAGTGGTAGGGAGTGAACAGGTTCCATCTGCAGACTAATTTCAAACCTACTGTATGTTTGGTATTAGTCAACAGACAACCAGCAACATTTTCAATGAATTAGAGCCAATCCACAAAGCTTGGCTAAGGCAAGCAAACATAGAGCTGCAGATGCACAGGTCAACAACACAGAAACTCAAATTATTCTCTGTGTTGGAGGGACACAGCAACCCTGGCTAATGCATTTCAGTTAGAAATCATGATTGGGCAAGCTCAATATGCAGAGAGACCAAAATTACAGGGATATATTTCTAACACTGTATTACTTACATGGACAACATTACAGGTCTGACCACCACAGCTCCATGCACCAGTAGGCTCCTTGGAAAACTGGAGGACATCAGCAGGCCCATATAACAGGCTACATCAAGTTCCACAGTGCCTTACAACCGTGTCCTCAAGCTGACCCTCACCCATCTCACGAGGAGTTCAAGTGTGCAAAAACAAGACTCCAGATGACACTGGATGAATCCTAAGATTTAGTGGTCAGCGACATTGTGCTAACCCTGGCATCTGGATGCAAATGGAGACCAACCAAAGTAGTGGAGGAGGCAACAGCAGCCCTCAGACATGCAGACATTGTGGGACATATTCAGCAAGAAAGAGGAGGTCTTGGGCTAACAACTAGCCACCCTGCTTGGAATAAGGCCACAGCACCAGAATGGAGAAAGACAGTGGTGGAGGAAGCATGTATGAATCAGAGGCCAGTGCCTGAAGAGAAGCAGTCAGTGGCGTTGGATTAAGAGGCAAGACCCCTGCTTGGCCTGAAGTAGCAGGCCAGAACGACACAGAGGGGGGTGTTTCTGGGACACTGGAATTCACCATTGAGCCCTCCAGAGCCATCGTCACAAAAAAGCAAAACGTCTGTTTAAACTGCAGTTAGGCTGTACAGTCAGTAATGCAAGGCTTAAACACCACCCACCCTAATGAAAACCCTTTGACCTAATCATAATCTCTAAACAAACCACAGAGCAGAAACAGTAACACACAGCACGGTCATATGCTGACTACTGAGGTGGAGTCATCTCTCAAGCTGTCAGCCTCAGCTGCTGCCATCATTTATAGGTCAATTATCTGCTGAGGTCAGTGGGTCAACAACACGCAGAATATTGCAGTGATCATCACAAATCTCCACATAGGTGCATTACAAATTGAACTTGCTCAAGCTACATCAGTGACACACAGGGACATTTATTTTTAATGTTTTGCCTTTTATTGCCTTTATTGCCACAAGAAATGTTGTTGAAGTAATTTCAGGTAAGGTGTTATGAGTTAGTGGTAGTGGTATTGATATATGAACATTAGCAAAGGATATGAGTCCTGTAACTGACGATCTCCCAGCCAGCTGGTGTCGTGCCAGACAGAAATAGAACTGGACTAAGAGAAACAGTCAAAGCCACAAAGCATCATAAAAAATGACTCATCCACAACAAAGGAACCAATCTTTCAAATATTGCTAATGCTTCATTCTACTGTGTTTGAAAGACACAGTATGGTCAAACTGTCAGCAAAGTGATCTATTATACAGTACATAAACTAATGCTGCTGCCTGCTGCTCAGTTTTGTTCAGCCGGTCAAAACGGTGACCTGCTGAGGACTGAATGAGCAGTGAGAGAGAGAGATACTGTGGCTTCACGTGATTCTATCAGTTCAGCTCTGTTTGCTAGAGCTTCAGGGAGATCTCAGAATAAGGACAAACACGACTAATTGCTATGGCCTGACGATACTGGATATGTGGATATTTGAGAGTTGATGACATACAAATGCCATATGTTTGGGATTCTGTACTGCAAATTCTTCTTACTTATCAGCCAAAATATACACTGATAACGATCTGCAATAAGCCAATTTATTGGTCGGACACTATTAAGATACAGTTTATTGATCCCACACTGGGGAGATTCACTCCGCTCCAGATACAACACAACACAATATATTAGAAAAATACACATTAAATAAGAATAGAATAGAAAAAAATAATAGAAATAATAGAAATAGAAAAAAAAGAGTAAGAGTTATAAATATGTATACTATATATACAGATGTGACTGATGGAACATTGCACAGGTCACAGCAGGAGGTAGTGGCATGGTGTAGTAATAAATATAATTGCACAGGATAAAAAAACAGTAGTGAAATTTAATGGTAATACTGAATGTACAGTACATGTATAACATAGTCTTAACAATGTGCATGTAAGAAATTATATATATGTATTAATACCTTAGTTGATGTCCCAATATATGTACCACTACAAGCCTCCAACTCATACAAAATGTTAAAGTTATCCTTTTAAATTCAAGAGAGGTTTGTCATAAAATTGTTTCTTTTTTTCCTTTCTATTCTGACCAACTGGCATTCATTTATTCCAGCACTGCTTGTATTTCTTACAAAGTGACTGCAAAAGAGAAAGGGGAAAAAAATGAAAACTTACTTGGTAAAAAAAAAACCAAGTACCCTATATAACCCCTCCAAAATATTTTAATTACAAAATAAAGGGAGTCCCACCCATGTCCCACCCATTCAAACTTCCACTGGATTACATAATAGCCACGATCCTGACCCCATCAATGTGAGGCCTTCAGCCTGTACTGCTTGTTTGGAATAGCTCTGATTTCATCCCCACCTCTAGGAAGAACCAGGCCTCTTCAGCTCAGTGTTTGAGCCAGGACATGATGTCTTGGCTCAGGCCCCGGCTCAGTAATCTAGCCCATTTGGCAGGGTATACATCCCAAGTGTCAGGCCACACCAGTGAGCATGGGTGGAGGTTTTTGTACATAGAGAAGTTGGTGATGATCTCACCAAGGGATCGCAGAGATCATTCATGGGAGTGTCCCAGCAAAGACAAATAGCTGTGGGTCAGAGAGTAGAACTTAAACAAATACAGTCTTTCTTTCTGCAGGCGGAAAGTATAATAGACGGTAAAAAAAGAGGAGATCCGGCAGAGGAAGGAAGGAAGGATGCAGGAGATGATACATGGATGGTGAAGAGAAAGGAAAAAGGCAGGCAGGAAGGAAAGAAGAGGGAGGGATACAGGCCAGGAAACAGCTCTCTGTTATACATTAATCTCATACCCAAATCATATTCTGTGATCATCTCTTTTCCTACAATGCTTGTTTTTACATCACCTCCTCTAGACAAACAAACAACAGACCAGCAGACACAAATTCATACCCCCTCTGTGTGGGACAGCTTAGCCAGGTCCTTGTCTGAAGCCTGGGGGACTCCTGTTGGCCACTCCACCTTCACCTCTTCCTCCTCTGGTGTCTCCCCACACGGCTCCTCCTCCTCCTCTACTTCTTGCCCTTCCTCATACGTCTCTTCTTCTGCTCCTTCCTCCTCCTCCTCCTCCTCCTCACCTCCCTCCCGATGACCTGTCTGCTCTGATTCTGAGCTCTTTGTGCTTTGCTCTTGTTCTTCATCCTGGTGTGTTTCAGGACTATTGACTGGAATGTAGGAGAAATGGGACATTGAGTATTGGTTATGGATTATTACTCAAACCGTACAGTATGTGAACGTATTGATACAGAGCCCCCGTGTAGCCTAATGTGTCCATGAGAAGGTCATTTGGAAGTGTAATCTAATATATGTTGGTTTTACATTGCCTAATTAATCATTCCTTTAAAAAAAGCCATTTCTCATTCTCCATTTGTTTTTCATTCCTGCTGACAAACATAATTTGGAATATTTAATAAGTGATGACAAGTTTAGACACATTTGCGTTACCTAGTCTATGTGTGGATGTGTCTATGAGGAGGATGAAGGCTGGATTTAGATGGAAATGAATAGCAAAGCGTGCTAAGTAACAGTGTTGCAATAGACCTTTTCACAGCAGCCATTTTAACATGAAATAGTAGGGTTAACACAGGTGTCACCAATGATAGTAGTTGAGGTTCTGTTCCAGTTAGTTTAGCAAAGCCTTTCCAGTGAGCCAATGTGCACAATTGCAGCCTCTTGACTCTATTGGCTGAATGGAAGAGGACCTGCTATTCTGCATGTTGGAAAGGTATCTGTCTAACATCAGTATGTTAGCGTAATTATCAATCCTATGCATTCAAGCCCTAGGATTGGCCAGGTGCCTATGCACGTCAGGGCATGTACAGAAAGCTTCCTGACAGAGACTTTAGGAAGTAGGATGAATAAAGAGTGACAAAGTCCCAAAGAGAAAGTCATGGTGGATCGGTTAAACACAGTGCTTTCACCCAGGAGGTTTAGGTTTAGGAAACAAAAAACTAAGTTTTAAGCAACAATGGTTTCTGGCAGAAATCTACTCCCACTTATACGAACTAGGACGCCTGGCTAATCCTAGTGCTTGAATGCAACGCAGGGCATCTCTTGCCAAGAAAAGCAGTGGCTTTCATAAGAACAATCATTGTGAGCATGCTAGTGCGTAGTTAGCATTTAGATCAAAGCAGTGGCTTTACCTTTATCATGACAGGGCTGTAGTGTCTCGTTCTCGCTCTGAACGTCTTTCAGAGTCGTATTCAGCGTGTTCTGTTGAATCAAACATAGCTGATAATAAAGAATCATATAAGTTATTATTATATTTAATTGAGCAAAGATCAGTATAGAAGGGGAAGGTTCACATGTCTTACCTGTCCCACACTGGTGGATGGTCTGATTGATGCCAAATAGGGGAACACAGGAAAGCCAAGACAGGAAGACCAGACAGATGGCAGAAGAAAGAGAAAAGAGAGAGAGGCAAAGAGAGGCAAAGAGAGGTGGAGACATGTCAGACAAGGTTAACACGTGTGGTTCATTGGCAAAAAGACATATCTTCCTTTTTAGCTTTTTTTCCCGAAATTGTGCACTCAGGGCTATCAATCAAACTAGTGTTGCTTTTATACATTTTAGGAATGGCTTTTGTTTATTCTTCAGGCCTTTCCAGGACAAGTTGGCATCTGTTCTCAAAAATTAAATCCACCTGCAACAAATAAAATGCAATAACATACCAAGAGAGTCACAGGATAGGCGGGACACAACAGCGTCTGGCATGCAGACCAGTGGTATTTGTGTCTTATGTGTCGGGTGGAAATCACAATCCTGCGGAAATCTTTTCTGCCCCGTCAGAAATATTGATTTTCTCAATGAGTCTCATGTGTGTCTATAGCCTCAGTGTATCTTCATGCATTACGTGACTCCTCAGTGTGCCCATATGGGAGACAAAGATAGAGGTCGATTATAGTAGAGAAAAATGGGCACTAAAAGGTTTCTGTCTGACAGTGATGAAGGCAATGGGAGGAAATGGCATGAAAGGAATATAGTTGAGAAGCTGAGCTGTTTACAGTGGAAGTCTTGAGTACTGAGGTGTGGGAAACATCAAAGACATAATCTTTACTGAATGCAAGTTTAATGACATGGTCTGGTTTTGTGTCTAACTTTAATTCAGAGAAGGAGTATTAATTACAAGATAAAAAGGCTGTTTATGAATACAGGTAAGGTCAATGGTATGCACTTATATAGCGCCTTTCTAGTCTTCCGACCCCTCAAAGCACTTTACACTACATGCCACATTTACCAATTCACACACATTCATACAGTGATGACAGCATCAGTGGCTATTTGGGGTTCAGTATCTTGCTTAAGGACACTTCCACATGCAACGGGAGGAGCCAGAGATCAAACCGCCAACCTTCCAGTTAGTCAGCCACTCTACCTCCTGAGCTTTAGAAGCTTATATTTATTCTGAGAAATCCTGCACTGTGTGTTGCAGTGTACCTGAGGTGTGTCCTGCAGATCTGGCTCAGGGTCTCAATGTGTTTCTGACTGATGCCGTCTGTCTCAGCGGGCAGGCTGCTCTCAGCATTCTTCTTCTCCCTCCACTGGCTCTCTGGGAACACGTGGAGTACAGATGTAAAAAATAAATGCACATACCCACTTTTTCTCTCAGTATTGCACAGAATTGCATTCAGATTTTTGATAATATTATACGTAGGGAAGAAACAGCTGCATGCAGTACCCCAGTTCTCCTGCAGGGCGGCAAGGTTGGACAGCAAACGTTCATGGTAGAGCTTTTCCAGCTGTAGGAACTGGATGGCCCACTGGTCTGGTAGCATCGCTAGTTAAAGACACCAACTGAGCCTTGAACATGTTTGATTAACTACAGTTTTCGTTATTTTTGTAGCTTTAACACTGAATGAGATGACACTGCAGCGAAATGAAATCCCTAGCCTTGTGTGTAATTTGAAAGAAACCCATTGGTTTCATTCTGTTGCTGTTATTTGTTTTAGTCTACAACACAGCTGTATGATGTCAAAAACTCATTTAAAGGTCCAGTATGTAACATTTCAGACAGTCTATTGTTAGAAATGGAATATAAGTATGTTTTCATTAGTGTCTTATAATAAGAATTGTCGTTTTGTACCTTAGAATGAGCTGTTCCATGGTGGCTGCCATGTTTCTACATTAGCCCAGAGAGGACAAACCAAACACGGGCTCTCGACAGGGCACGTTTTTTGTGCATTTCATGTCCACCCTAGTTTCTACCTCAAACTTTGAAAGGGAAGGTGAAGCGAGTGAGTTGCAATCTGCAACTACACAGCTAGATGAAATCCTACACACTGGACCTTGTTATTATTATCTGAGATATTTTTTGTTATAATTTGGCGCTATACAAATAAAATTTAATTGAATTGAATTGTATTAGGAATGGAACAGTTAGAAGTTAATGTACACGTTATTTAAAATTATACTGTGCAGCAAGGGTCTGTTACAGTTTTTTCCATGGCACGAAAACCCATTCCTTTTTGCAAACAAATACTTCAATTTAAGCTGTTGACTCACACACCATGCACCTTTTAAATACTAATAAACCAAGATTCTCTCATAATCAAAAGGTCATCCCTTCACTAACATTCTGCAGTGTTTTTGCAACTGGACATCTTTCTCGTTTTATCTCACAAGTCCTCCCTCACCGTGCATCAAGTCCTCCTACTTTCTCTCTGCCTCTGTTTCTCCCTCCCCCACGTAAACACACACCGACCTCCTTGCGGCAAGAAGGGCCGACAGCTGTTGCCAGGCCAACAGCAGAAACGGAGACAGAGGAAACTACCACTGCAAGCCTTCAGGGCTTTCAGCCAAAGTACGGGGAACACCCAGTGGCTGCGAGACAAATGAACAGAACAACAACAATAACGAGGCAGAGAAAGACAGGAGGGCTGACAGGAAGATAGACGGCCAAACAAACATTCAATTGCTTATTGTCATTTTCAAATAGCTGGATATTATTACTGTTGTCCCTATAGGTCAGTGTCATGTGTTAGCCTTCAACAGATCAGCACAGGCCTCTATTAGAAGAACTTTTAAAGTCCCGATTCTGCTCCCCACCAAACGTGGACCCCATCCTAGACCACAGAAGCACTTACTCTCTTACATTTATTTATCATCACATGTGCCAGTCTGGCTCAGTCACGACTCAGCTGGAAAGTACTAATGATTGGCAAATGTCACAATTCATAAAAACAGAAAAGATGAGGTCACTGAGCACTTGAAAGGATACAGTCCTCTTTGAGCGAGTAGGCCTCTGCGATCTGAAAAAAACAACAACAATTGAATAAAGAGGTACAGTACACTGATTCACACAGTTCATACATACTAGCACAGTATACAGAATTGTACATCAGACATGTTACTCTGTGACTTAAAATAACTCTGACACAAACAGGTCTTGTAACAGCGTTTCAGCGTGAAACATCTGCATTCAAAGCACACAGCATCCTTAAACCATGCTAACCACTTATTATGGTGTTCAATCAAATGTAGATGTTTTTGTTTGAAATTCACCAAATTCCTTCAAAGATGAAGATCACATGACAGCGACATACCAAGAGGTAGAGCCATGCAGAGACCCTGTCAGACATGAAGTCACATGCAACTACTCATGGCCCGGATTAACGTGTCTCTATGGGATTTTTTTCCCATCAGCTTTTTACCTTCCTCTCCACAACCAGTCGACTGATTTAGTAAATCTAGACATGAGGAAGTTTTACATCCAGAGATATCGTTCTGTAATTCCATGATACCTGGTAGTTTTAAAGCTGCAACTAATGAATATTTACATTATCAATGTAACATTTCTGCATTTAAATGTTTAGTTGCGTACTTCCATTATCCCAGATGTTTCCAATAATGTTCAAACCCAGAGAAATCTGTAACTTTACCGGTCGCCTGTAAATGACATCATATCCCCTTTGTGCATGTGTCAGCATTGTTGAAGAATAAGAAGCTGTCATAAATTACATTTTTTTTCAGTTTTGAGCCACATTTTTACAATATACTTTTTAGATCTTGGTCGTTTTTAACTATATATTTAAACCGGATGAAGGAGTTTAGTCCTCCGGCACATCCTCTGTCTGCTGAACAGCGTCAGAGAAACACAGAATTTTTTTTTGTTATTAAACTTTATATTTAAAGAAAAATAAGTTATACATATTGCTCTTAAGTTTGTATACATGTCATTAATCAAGAAAGAAAAATTCACATCATTACAAAAGCACCCACACTCTCTCCCATCACAGTACTTCTATACCTGTTCTGGTAGGGAACTTAAGAGTCCAAAAAATAAGAAGTGGTAGTGATAACTACAAAAATAAAAAAAAGAATAAATAAAATAGGTAAATATACAGCAGTAAATAAAATAGACTAACAGCTGTAAAATTAATCCATTTGTCTGCTCCATATGTACCTTTCCTCATTCATAACTTTTCCTGCAAATAATATCTTATAGTGGGGTGATTATAACTGCGATGGCAAAATCAACAACACAAATGGTAATAATTATAGATTAAGTAAGATAGTTTGCTGTATACATGTATAACTCTCTATTTGCTGAAACAAAGAAAGAAAACTGAACCAGACGAGTGGAGTCAAAAACTAGGGGGATTTATCACATTACCCAGTATCTTGCCTTGAAGTTATTATAAAGTTTATCCAGGTTTTCCAGTAACTCTCAAACTTATCTTGTTCAAGCCTGAAAATTAATGTTAGCTTCTCCATTATAAAAATATCCTGAACCACTTTGATCCAGTCCTTGACTGTAGGAGAATCTTTCACCAACCATTTCCTTGTGATTGCTTTGTTACTCACTAGTAATAGGATATTATACATATATTTATTTTCAGACCCCTTCACAGTGTCCAGTCTTAATCCCAGACATAAAGTCACGAACTCTGATGGAATCACTATTTTCATGATTTTCTCCATGGTCAATTTAATTTCTTTCCAATATTTTGAAATTCCCCTCTACCTCTTGTAACACCTTATATATCTTTGATATGTTTCCACGTCCAGGGTCTGACCTGTAGCCGAGTAGAAATATCTTCACTATACCCAAGTTAGTTTGTTGCAATTCTTCCTTTCTCGTTATTTTCTCTAGGTAATGTCTAAGTTGCAAAAATCTATAAAAATCATGACTGGTTAAACCGAATCGATTTTTAAGATCCTGGAATTGTTGCAGCGTGCCCCCCTATAGAGGTCACAGTGTTTTATTAACCCTTTATCGGCCCACTGTTTAAATCTTGCGTCTGTCCTGTTTGGTAAGAAATCTGAGTCATATCCTATCCATCTTATGATCCAGTATGGTTCTTTGGCCTTGTTGTCATTGACTACCCTGTGCCAAATCTTAATTGAGATTTTTATCAATGGGTTTATGTCTTATAGACAGGCAACCAACCCACTGTCCCCGATGATTGCTTGTAATGGAATATCACTAGATATCTGACATTCTATGTCTTTCCACTTCGCTTTATAAGAAGGGTTGCAGATATTAACTAAAATTTGTATCTGCACCGCTTGGTAGTAATTCTTAATATTCGGGAGAGAGAGGCCTCCTTTGTCTTTTGCTAGTTGAAGAGTCTTATAAAGAATTCTTGGCCTCTTCCCCTGCCAGATTAATCGGGATATTAATTTGTAAAATTCTTGATCAGATCAGATTTGATTTTGGAAATTAGGGGGTCATAGTTCTCTGATACAATCGTATTCAAATGTTTAGGTACTTAATTGACTTTGATTCCCAACTCACTTTAAATTCCTCTCTGATGGATTGGCTAGGAGAGTAATTAAATGTCAAAATTTGAGATTTGTTGGTGTTTAGTTTATAACCTGATAATAAACCGTATTTCCTCAGGGTTATGAGCAATTCTGGAAAGGAAGCAGATGGGTGCCCCAAGTACACCAAAATATCATCCACGAAAAGGGCAATTTTGTGTTCTTCTTGGGACACCATGATCCCCCTTATCTTCTCATTCTGTCTTATGCACTGACTCAAGGGCTCTATAAAGATGGCGAATAAGAGCGGGGACACGGGACAACCTTGTCGACATCCCCTCTCTAATTCAAAAATATTTGATAATCCTCCATTAATCTGAATTTTAGCTGTTGGTTTATAGTATAAAGCTTGTATTGTCCTAACAAAGTCATCGTGGAACTTGAATCTCTCTAGTATCTTATATAGGAAGGACCAATCAACAGAGTCGAATGCCTTCTCTGCATCTAACCCTAGCAGGACAGCCTCTAAATTATCTTTGTTTATATGGTTAATTAATGTCCTAACGTTATCCTGTGTCTGCCTCTGTCTAATGAAACCTGTTTGATCCAACTGTATAATATCTGGAAGTATTATTTGTAAGCGTTTTGCTAGAATTGATGTGAAGAGCTTATAATCCTGGTTCAACAAACTAATTGGGCGGTAGTTAGAGCAGTCTGTCCCATCTTTCCCTTCTTTTGGTATCACAGTTATAATTGCTTCCCTCCAAGATGGAGGAATTTCTCCTTTCTTAAGGACCCAATTGAATGTTCTGAGCAACAATGGTGATTAAGAGTCACTAAAAGTCTTATACCACTCCGCTGTAAACCCATCAGAGCCTGGAGACTTATTAGGTTTGAGTCTAGATATTGCCTTTTGGAGTTCTCCTATAGTCACATTGGCCAGTAAAGCTTTACTCTGATCTTCTGTAATTGTTGGGAGATTAAGTGATGCAAGCAGAGATTCAGGTGACTTGTCCCCCTTACAGGCCATCCGGGCATATAGGTTTTTGTAATATTTGTTTCAAAAAGATTAGTTTTTTCTGAATGTCTGCCTCATAAATTTCTTTGATCTGATTTTTAATTTCCCCAATTTTCTGGTTAATGTCCAATTGGGTATCTTTTTTTATGTTTTTTTTCCCAAGTTTTCCAACTCTTTTTCCAGTCCCTCCAGAAAAACGCAATTATGCGATCGTATAATTCAATGCATTATCAGCCAAAGTCCGAATATTCGCATTTTTTTCAAATAAGCTGCACTTTCACCACATAAATTGCCGATTTCCGTGCAAAATATGCGGGACTTGCATGATTTCATAATCCCCGCATTTCCGTTGCAAAAAAGTCACATATATCTTAGCAGAAAGTTGAAAAATGTTGCATTTACTTCACACAAGAGCAGCCATTTTCCCGTTGCCATGGGAACATTATGAAGTGACGTAATTACGCGACGTGAACATCATCGAAAAGCTGCAAACGCCGCGATGATATTAGTATTATGTAAATTTACGTTACAGTAAGAGATTGCACTTTGTGCATTGGAAGCACTTATTTTAACAGAAGATGTCTGTTTTGTATAGTTACCTCTGTAAAACAAGAAGCACACATTTATTTTTTTATATTTTATTTATTCATTTTTACAGAAGTTGTAGCACATTCCTTTTGTAAAGCTACAGAACTTGTTTGACTCATCAATGTTTTGTAAGTTTGAGCCATGTGTTTATTAAGGTCTGAAATAAAACAAGATGAGAACTTAAATATTCCCAGCACTTTCTGTGATGTAGGTAGTATGCTTGCTTATCATAGGAAGTAATAAGAAATGACCCTTTACATTAAGGTAGTAGCCTAGTGAGAACAGGTGTTGGGGGAATCACTTTTTTTTCTCTTTTTCATCAAACCGCAATTTTTGCAAGTTCCCGCAATTTCATCGCATAAAATTGCATAAATATCCTGCATAAATATCCCGCATATTCCATCGCATTTTTTAAGAAAACGTGCCGCATAATCAAGGATTTTTGCCCGCAACAATCACAAAAAAACTCCGCATTTTTCTGGAAGGACTGTTTTTCTAGTTTATCCAATTTCTCCTGTCTGAGCCTCTTTTGTAGTGCCAATTTCACAATGATTTTCCCTCTCAAAACAGCCTTACCTGCATCCCATACCATAAGGGGGGAAACTTACCCATTATCATTTTCTGACAGGTATAACTTAATTTCCGCTTGAAGTTCTTCCTTCATTTATCCCTTGAGTACGTTTAGATTAAGTCTCCAGGAAAAAGTATTTTTTCTGTTTTTAGATTTAAATCTAGGTACACTATGGTCCGACAGGTCCATTAACCCAATTTTGCATGACCTTACAAAACCAATATCTTTACTGTACATAAAAAAATAATCAATCCTTGAATAAGTTTTATGTGGTGAGGAATAAAAGGTGTAATCTCTAGTTGTGGGATTGAGCTCCCTCTATCTCAGAGATAGATACCCATCTCGCTTATCCTCTTTCTCACCTTTTTGCCTACAGTGTTATTCTGGGTCTGAGCTAATCTTGACACATCCCATTTTGGGTTCAGTCTCAGATTAAAGTCACCACCCCAAATCACCATTCACTGGGCTTTCGTAACCATTAGGTAAAAGATTTGTCTATAGAACCCCCACGTCGCACCTCAAGGTGCATAGACATTTAAGAGAGTGGTTTCTGAGCCTTCTAATTTTCCTACAACCATATTAAACCTTTATTTCTTGTCCGTGATTTCTGCTACCTTTTCAAAGATTACTCTTTTCGATATCAGTGTTGCCACCCCCCTTCTGTGTCCTGTTTTATATGAGGCTGAGTAAACCTGATTGAAGCCCTGCCTTTTAAGTTTGGCATGCTCGGAATCAGTTAAATGGGTCTCTAGCAGAAATATTATATCTACCTTGTCTTTTTCCATTTTGCCCAGAATTTTACTTCTTTTACCGGATTAAGTACACCCTTCACATTGTAAGAAGCCAACCTAAGTGGCACTTTTTGACTTTCCATAATAAAACAAGTGCTTTCTTCAATTTTACTACCATGTCCCTCGTAGCCTCCTCTGCCGAGTTGTACAGACATGTCTCTCTCTCATAAAACACCCTCATTCTGGCTGGAAAAGGAGTTTGGAACCGTATATTATTCTCCCTCAACACCTTCTTCGCCTTCATGTATTCCCAGCGCTTCCTGAGGGTCTCCGGTGCATAGTCGTGGTCCACGAAAACATTTCTCTCTTGGTAGAGAAACCCCTTTTTTCGCCATACTTGTTTCAGGATTTCTTCTTTAGTTTTGTTGCTGGAGAACTTAACAACTGTGGATCTCGGGGGAGAATCCGCCAGTGGTCTTGGTCCCAATGCGCGATGCGCAAGCTCGATCTTTAGGTCGTCGGTGTGGGGCAACTCCAGTTTTTCCCTCAGTAGCTTTACCACAAATGTTATCATCGATGTGGAGTTGCTCTCCGACCATTCTTCTATGCCGTGAATTCTTATATTCTCCCGTCTTGCTCTTCCCTCTTGATCCGTTAGCTTATTTTCAAACTTAGCCTGTAGTTTTAGCAGTTCCCTCGTAGCCTCCTCCAGCCCCTGCACTCTTTCCTCAGTCTCTGAAATTCGCATTTCGGCTTTGTCAACTCTGCTGGTAGTTGCCTTAATGTCCTCTCATATTTCTCGGAGAGTCTCTCCATTTTCATGCCGAAACTCTTTCAGTTCTTGCAATATAATTTGCAGGTTAGCCATGTCCGCATCCACCTGTAGCTCCCCCGTGTCAGGGTGGCTAGCTATGTTCTCCTCGGTGGACTCTTCCTCGGCTGTTTGAGCCTTTTCCTTCATCTGTGAAGCGTTTTTTGTCTTGGTTTGGGCATATTATAAACGCCTCTTTAACTTCTTCTGTTAATGTGTAACAATCTTTTGAAAAAATATGGCGTTTTTCTTGATGATCGGGGAGCTCTGTTATTATGCTGCCTACTTCATGGCTGCTCAACGGGAAGCCAGAAACACGGTGCAACTACTTTATTCAGTGTTTTTACCGGCTTTAATCTCCAGGACCGTTTGTTTTGGAGAGAGGGAGAGCTCTCGGATAATTTGGCTGCCGGTAAAAACGTCTGAACAATAAACACTGAAGGAATCCTATCTGGGAGAAGCTGACTGCTTGTCGGCAATGGTGGTGAAGAGAACATCTCCCATGATCCTGCGCTACTTCACAACGCTATCAAACTATGTCTTTTCTTACTGTTTTGATGTGAGAGATTCCTAGAAAAATAAATGACATATTGTATCTTTAATGTGCTTACTATTTCTATTTCTAACTAGCTGCTGTGTAGGCTCAATGTGTCTGCGTTCTTCTAGTTGTTGCTGTGAGCGTCTGCTAAACAGCAATAAACAGAAGCACTGTTACCTTCAGGCTGAGTGAGAAAACAGATCATTTATTTACTTAGTAAGAAGAACAAGAGCACATCAGCCAAATTCCTGCTTGCCTCGGCCCCCCTCAGCAATCACATCCACAAATGCATTCTACTCACACTTGTTTTGCATACTTTTCAGCAACATTTTTTAAGCTAGCTTTAAGTCTAAAGTGCTACTGTTGGTTGAAAACTATACCTGAACTTCAGGCTTCATTATACTATAGGACACTACACAAAATATTCTAAGAAGCCAAGGTTGTATTCAGCAGAATTGTTGAGAGATTGCTTTATTAATTTGAATGTAGCCTTGTAGCATCAGTTTAATGAAAATAAATTGGATCAAACATTTAATTGGAAAATACCCAATATTGGAATATTGAAGGATTCAGATTGTGATCAGCAATAAAAAAAACTCAAGACTAATGTTAGTAACTGTCACTTCAAAGAGAGTGTCTAATATAGGGCCCCCTGTCCCCCCTAGGCCCCTACATTTGAGCCCCGCAGGCCCGCTCAGTAATCTATCCATCTTCGTAGGAACCTCCTTCTTACACAGATATTATTTCCCTGATAATTCAGTGACCTTTTTTTATTCCCTCGTTTAATTGATGATGTTTGCACTTGTAGCCGTATCCAACATTCATCATAATCTTGGGTCACCAAGAGCCAAACTCTCATCAGGGGCAGACTCACATGAGAGCCTAGAAATGTGTATTTTTATTTTCTGCTGTTTGGATTCTTGTTCTTTTGGGTATGTTTAGCATTTAATAAATGAATTCAGGCCATGAAATATCTGGCATGCCAGAATAGCAGATGCTGGCAGATATGACCAAATAAGGACCCTCATGTCGAATAGAGAGCGAAAGTGTTTCTGCTAAAGTGGGCCTACATGTTGAACATATCTGAACATGTCTCAGGTTTCTGCAGTCACGTCCCAAGTCATAAATTTTGATAATCATAGTCATAATACGCTCTTCACCAAATGTACGACCACCATGTTCTTTCATCAAATTAATATTTAAACTGCATTGCCTCTCCTTTCCTTTTTTAGTTTTTGAGGCAAAACAGCTTCACCTTTGTTCAGTAATTACTGCAGTTGGCAGTGAAGCAAAGTAAACTACAAGCTTCTTAAAACATGGCTCAGACAAATGAATCATATTGTGTAAGTGTTGTTAGGAAATTGCGGTCTACAAAGTATTGCATGAAACCACTGATCCTTTTAACCTAAACACAGAGACTAAACCAAACTATATTTATCACACCTCTAATTAGCATGTCTGTTTGAATGCTGTAATTGTAATCTGAGGCACGGCAGGCGAACAAGAGCAGAGAGGTTGCCAGTTCAAATCCCTGCACCTGCAGAGTAGAGCAGTTGCATAAATGTTCTTTTCTGCTTCAGTTACTACTGCTCATGTCTCCTTAAGCGATGCATTTACAGGGAAGATTTTCAGACAGCTGACCTTTTTAAATTGGAAACCAAGCTTTCTCAGTGCATTTGCATGCTCTAACAAGCTACTTTGATATGTTTGAGAAACACCAGCTCAGGGATTTGTTATATTTGTCTCAGCAAACTAAGAAAACATAGACTTTGGAATCAGGTCACACAGGAGGACTGCCACACACACACAAATACTGTAGATGTAAGCATACAGAGACTCAGACATATGTAGATGCATACACACCCACACATGAGACCATTCTGTCTCACTAAATAAAGACACATTTCCCTATGGATTTGGGAGATAAAAATCCTCCCACTTTCTCTCACACACACAGACACACACCTGGTGCAGGGAGTGTGGCAGCAGTGTATAGTCAGTGTTTTCTCTGAGGGACTGCAGGGAGGCAAGCAGCTCTGGGCTGGGGCCTGGCGGTCCATCTCCAGAGACCCTTCCTGGAAACATACAACACAAACATACACTAGAATGAAATATACCTAATACTTCACGTTTCAGGAACATTATGGAAGGGTTGGAAGGGCCTATCTCCTTTCCCCTGGATGTGTGCACACATTCATATATAAAACTTAACAATTACATCACACAAAGAAAACAGAGAATGCTACTCGTCAATGGACAGACTCCCTCCCCAACGGTCTGGGAGTGGTCCGAGGCTGGAAGAAGCACAAGACCTACATCGGGCTAGCGCCCTCCCCTAGGAAACATCTCCCTTAAACTTAAAGCTAAACTAATTTGAAAAGAAATATTAAATTAAATTAAGAAAATTAAAAAACTCTTCATTGCTCTCTCTGTGCTTTAAATACAATATTACGATAATATTATCATAATAGTAAATCAAAATATCATATAGTATTATCAAATCATATTGTTTTATTAATGTATTATTATAACAATACTGTTTTTACATCATATATTTATTATCACTATAACGTTGAAACTATATGTATATATATAAATATTATATATTTTTATTTATTCATGTATTTATTTTGTTTCTTTCTTCCTCTCTGACACATATGCAATACTCCTCACCCCACATGCCAACATCAAAACATACACCCACATTACCCACACCTATCCTACTAATTTCTACTTCCGGACTCTTACCATCTCATTACATAGATCATTGTTACATTGTTGTTACATCAAATATTTTATATTTTTATCTTATTGAATATATGTCCATTCATTATATGTTCTATATTACCGATATGTCACCAATTTAAAAAAGGGAACATTATGATTACTTCCAAAAGCCTTGATTTGTAAATTCTGATAATAGCATCTTTGCTGTGGTGTATGCTTTGTTGGTTTGTGTAATCAATCTGTGATACAATATTACCGCTTAAAGGAGCACGCATTTCACACACAACATATTTTTTTGGATCTTGATCCATATTAAAGTCAGGATATCTTGGTATGTCTATGTGTTGCATCAGTTTTGATCATTCTTCTCTAATCTGTCTTTTGCACTTGAAAAAAATTCAATACTAGTACTACTAGTATTCCAATGTATGCATGTGGAAGGAAAAACGGTTTAATTTGACAACCAGTATGTCAGTCTGCTTATATTTACCTCTGTGTGTGTGTGTGTGTGTGTGTGTGTGTGTGTGTGTGCGTCATGGCAGCCCCAGAAGACATAGTACATGCTAAAACTAACTAAAAAACAGGTTGTTTACCTCAGCAGGTTGCCATTGGTGACAGCCTGTAAGCCCCTCGCCTGCAGCCATTACTGTGACAATTAGTTGCTATTAGCTGTAGCTGTATGGTGCAACTCTTATGTAACATAGCCTATCAGCTCCAGCTGTATAGTACACAGCAAACATCCAAGAGTGTTGGCCGTGGCTTCCTTACAGCTCAGTATCATCCTGATCATCTTAAGCTCTGTTTTTTCCGGCACACTACAGCAGTTTGTGGGAAAACGTGGTCCACAGATGGATGATAAGCTTTGAGTTGTTCTCTGTGTTATCGTTCTTCTGTGTCTCTCTGCTGTGCTAGGAGATTAATAAATGCAGTCTAGGGTTGTTTAAAGAATATAATAAAGTGTCATTACCATCCACATTAGCTGGTAATGCAGGAAAGGCAACACTCCCTATGGTGTCCAAACACAAAAAGCGCATAGCAATCATATTTTATATTAAAATAAGATGGAGAAGAGTATGTTACCTGTAGAACTGTCGATGCAAAGCCCTTCCTCTTTCTGTGCAGTCCCAGTGTCAGGACCTTTTGGCGGGATGGCGTTCTTGTTACCCATCACCTCCGTCACTGCAGCAATCTTCTTCTCAAAGTCAACGTTCCCCAAAGGCTTCTCTGAGACCCTCCAGTGGGCCGTGGTTGGGTCTCTTTTTTCGGGAACTCACCGGAAAAACGTGAATTGTTTCTGACTTTTATCAGAGCACTTCCTTTGACTGAGATAAGCAAATTACTGGGGAAGAATATGGTGCTCTGAGCTCCCAGAAAGGATTCAAGGGCACCTCGAACACAGGAGAATTAAGTTTCTGCAGGTTTGGGTTGTGATCACTCTTGAAGGAGCATGTGATTTAATGCTCCATTGCCTCTCCTGGGTGGGCCAGAAAAGGGAGATTTGTAATGTCCACCATAGTCTATGAAGGCTGGCCTGTAGAGGATGATGTTCTCAGTTTTTGGAAACTTGGTGTAATCCTGTGTGGTTTATTGTGCTTGTCTTCCCTTTTACACACAGAATTCAGTGTTGCCTCCTTTCCTTGTCCCCAGGAAGCTGTCAGAAAATAGGTACATTTTAAAAAGAGAACATAATGTATGCCTCATGCATGCTGCAGTGTGTTCTGAGCAGAAGAGGACACGTAAACCGAGAAAGAAGAGAGAGCTGAATGCCATGAGAAGCAGCATTGCTGGTGAAATGGCACTTGTGTCACGGACTGAAAGGGTCGTCTTTGTGTCTAAATCATGACTGCCCATTGAGGCATGGCAGAGTGCTCCATTCTGAATAACCCCCGGTTTGAAAATAACGTCATAGTAGTCTGTGGAGTAGAATAATTAGCAATGAGCATGTTACAGTGCAGACAGACTGCACACTGTATACAATAATCCTTTTAGAAGCTTTAGAAGGGGGGGTCAAATGTTACTTTATTTCTTTAAAATATTGTAGTCCTCTCCTACAAAATAACATAAATATTATAATCTTCTTCCAAGATAAAATGTGAAAATTCATACACTCATATCTCATATCACAATATGACAAATCAGGGTACCACTGCAATTAGTCTTCTCTACATGTCTTCTCTCCCAATTTCAGCAACTAATCATGCAAAAAGTAAACTTTCAACCTCAAGACACGTCATAATATGAAGCATGAAGCAGAGTGGTTAATATATGAAGGGAACAGTCTCCATTTACTGGCCTTGGTGAACAATGCCAGACAGGGTATGGATTCAGTTTCTTGCCTAAGGTCATTTCACAGCAAGTTCACAAGGGTGTACCTGTAGCTGTTGACAAAAGGTTGACATTATCAGGATGAATGACCTTTTATAGGGCAGTCACTCTAACCTCTAACCAGCTCTGTCACTGTAATTATTACAGACAAGATACCAAACTCAGTATTATCAGTGCTTTGTGTTTTTTACCTTTTGCTTCAATGTATTTTTCCCTTAAAGGTCCAGTGTGTAAGATTTAGCTTTTTATATCTACAGAGACCACCGGGTCATCTTCTATGGATTCTGCCTTGTTTCTACATTAGCCCATTAGGGAGAAACCAAACACTGGAGCAGAGTTGCGATCTGCAACTACACCACTAGATGCCACAAAATCCTACACAGTGGACCTTTAAAGATCCCCACATGTATAAGGACAAATATATAAATAATCTTTTTATTAATAATAATAATAATTACTTTTTCCATGAAAAGGTTTAGTTTCCATATTAAAATCCTTAACATGTATCTACTCCTTCTACCTCATTAAAAAATTCCACAATCTATAAAAATGCACATTTTGTTCATTTCCAGCAGGAGACAAGATGTCTCCTTCTTCACTGTAAAGTCCATTCTTATTGTATTTGCACTGGTGGATTCAGGTTTCTACATCACACTGTACAAGTTGCATACTGGATACAGGATACAGGCCTTCGCCTCCCCAGTGGGAGCCACAACACAAATGTGTCACATTAGTGCAATTTTGTACATAAGCTCCTTTTCAAGCTTGCAAAAACCATGGCTTCCTCTCTCCATTGGTGTTGCATAGGTGATGGCTGACATGCTGTAGATAAATATATTTCCGCCTCATGAAACCTACATTTTCAGCCTGAGTGGTCTGAGGGCATGAGAGCTGTGTGATACTATGTGTTCACACAGCATGTTAGCAGTCACATGAACGTTGTGAATTCTGCAACATGGAATGTGACACAAAGTACAAACGCTGGGAGCACGGACTGACTCACAGGATGTGTAGCATAAAATTAAGAATGATGCAGGGGAGGGTAAAGATGAGAATCGGAGGAAATTAGACTAAAACACATTATGACAGTTCTGGGTTTGCTTTACATTGTGAGGTTTCTCCTGTGAGCCGCCACACAATGTGAACTTTACTGTTTTAAACCCTTTACTTTCTTTTCTATATCAATATTTAGGAAACATTATATTTACTTAACATGACGGCTGACCATTTTCCAAAGTGGTGATTCACATTAAATGTATTTTTCCTGTTGTCTCCATTCCAGCAAAAGTGACAAGTAAGGAATTTTTTCATTTTGCCTTTTCATCTCTGTTAAGAGTTGCACATGTCCAGTCGATTGAGCAGGATGTACTGCTGAGAACTTATGCTCTCACACTTTGGCTTTAGTACATTTAAACAAACAAGATGTTACATGTTATAATAAGCTCGGTGCTGGTGGATTTTTGACAGAGCAAAGCTAGCTGTCTCCCCCCGTGTCCAATATATATGCTAAGCTAACCGTTCAGTGGCTTTACCTTCATATTTACTAGGGCTGTGTATTGGAAAGAAGCTGGCGATATGATACATATCACAATACAGGGATTACGATTAAATGTATTGCAATAAACTGCCATTTTGGCAGTCCTGACTCCGGCTGGAGCTGAGTCGGGCTGAATGAAGCCTGGTTACTGAAAGCTGCCGCCTGTGACGTCACCCACCTGTCACTCAAAGCGGCAAATGCTTTAATTATATGCAACTTTAAGCCTTAATGTGATTTATATACAAATTCACCACTCTTACAGTTGTCATGAATGGGAAAACACGCCATAGAGATCAAAACTGATTTCTGCTGTAAACATTTAAATTATTTAGCCTGGGAAGTTTGACATTTTAATATGGGGCCTTACGGAAATTGACTCAGTTCTGTAGCCTCAAGTGGCCATTAGAGGAACTGCAGGTTTTGTTACATTAATGTTGGCTTCACTGACCAGCCACAGATGTTGCTTATAGTTTAATCACAAAAATTAAAACAGTGTTTTGGAGAATTGATACAATATCACAAAACAAAATATCGCAATATGATTTTTTCTATATTTTCTTACACTCCTAATATTTACAGTACAGATATGAGAGTGGCCTTTGTTTAACCATATTTCCAAAAATTTCAAAGTATTCCTTTAAAACTTGTTTGACCATGTTTTCTTATATTCTTTATCAATGCTGATGACTGGTTTAAAAGATTTTCACTCCATAACCATGTAACATTAACTGTGTTGAAAATAAAAGTAGAGGTTCACAATTACACTAAGTACCTTTTAGGTCTAGTCCACTCATGTCTACTTTAGTTTCAAACTGCATCGAAATGAACAATAACAGAAGAGAAGCAGAAAACTTACAATAACAATCAGAATTAGGCTATTCCTTGTGCTGAGAAATGCAACACAATAATATGATCATTTATATTTATTAGACCATATTATTGACAAAAATCTTCCTTTAAAATATAGCCTAGCATCACTCTGTAGCTTGGCAACAACTCTGTCTTCTGTTGCCACCCCCCACCATTAAACCCCCTCTCCCAGCCAGTGTGGTACTTTAAAAACACTCCATTACGACTGCTGTGAAAACATAAACAGCCTTTTGGTACTGCTATTGTTTCCACAGTTGACTGTGACTTCAATTAATTTCCTGTCCGTAGCACAAGTGGTTGGCCGAGTGTGCGTGCGTGTGCACGTGCCTGCCTTACGCAAAGTGAACACGTGCATCGGGGGCGCGTGCCGCTGACGCTGTGGTGCACTACGAAACCTCGCGCTCAATTAAACGTTATTTTTTTACTGCCTACATCAATCTGCGACCTTGTTTTTCTCATACTCACCACTCGGACTTTAACGGGCTGGAAGGTGGAAAGTTCAAACACACACCATGGCTTCCTTCTGATAGCGTGTCTGAAGGAGCATATCGAGTTCATTGCTGATTTCTCTCCTGCTGCCCCTATAATACTGCTCTAACAGTCCTTACTTCCTTTTTTTTAATCTGCGACATCCATCTTAAATCCGTTCTAGGGTCAAAGTAGTCCCTTCTGCTATGGTACACAGATATCCAAACCTCCCTGTAGGCTGCTATCTGCTATGTAAGTTCATGTCACATAATTACACGGAGCACACAGCACAGGACGGAGGATGGAGAGACGCACTCACCGCTGGATGATGTCTCACAGTTTGTCGTCTGAACATCAACGCCCTCCAACAGCGTCGAGGTGTTTTTCCTCCTCCGTGTCGGCCCGCAGCAGGATCCACATCTGCCTCACTCTGTCATCTGTCCGTCTCCCACACTCTCTCGTGCTTCTTGTTTACGGTCCAATCCGGGGATTTTTTTCTGCTTCCCCTCATTGCAAAATGTATATTCCTACATGTCATGTTTATATATTTATCTCACCGTGTGGCGGAGGCTGCCATCTTGTGGCAGATGTGTCACACTGGCTCGTGGCTGGGGTGTCAGTGGTTATGTAACAGCAGATGAAGCGGTCATATGATGATAAACCGTACAGAAGATTACAAGGGTGACAGTGAACATGTACACGGGCTTTGCGTTGTATTATTACTGTTACATAAGCAGAATAAGAAATGCATTAGACTTGTCAGATTGATGAGGTACATGTCAGAAAGTCAGGATTATTGTGGTACTATGTATTCATCACTCACTGTTAGACCCTCAGTGTATAATAGCAACACACACTGAGAGATTGGAGGTTAGAGGAGCACTTAGTTTCTTTGGGGATTTGAATTATTGAATTAGAGACAAATATCTCTTGATTAGTTTTAGAGCCATTCCGCCGAATCGGTGCCTCTTCCGTCCCTAGGATATTACATGCATAAATATGCATAAAATCTATCTGTATTGTACATTATATTATTAAGCAAAGTGTCTTGCTCTCTGTTCTAATTGAAATTTGAAGAAACATGTAAAATCCTAATAAAACTACTTAGAACACTGAAAAAATAAGATTTTAGCCCGTACCCACTCTCACTTTACCATGAAATATAATTATTAGATAATGATTTTTGCATTATTGTGTGGCTCTATTTCCAATTTAGACATTAAATACTTTTTTTTTTTCATTGGAAATTCACAACATGTTAGTTGTGTCCCCAGGATTTCACTCAGTCCTATAGCTGTTACCCCCCTCTAAAGATTTGGGTCACCTGATCAACAGTAAGTAGCATCATTGCTGTCTTGACCATGGGAAGACCAACAGTGACTTCTCTCACTTTATTTTCTTCTTTTTTAGTTTGTCTTTTTTATCATATTGTAAGTATGCCAGAGAGTATAATTAGTAACGTTAAGTCCTGTTACCTAAATTTTTTTAAAGATCATTTTAAAACTACTTCCAGGTACACACTTATTATTTTTGATGCAGCTCTTTGATGTATTTGCTGAAAAAAAGTCATATTACTTGACTTATTACTAGTCTTGCTACAAAAAATGAAATCTTCTATTTAGGGACCATGTAAAATGGCCTGATATGGACAATTACACATTTTGAAAAGTTAAACGTGTATGATATTAGATACAGTGCTGAAAAAGATAAAGAATGAAGTTTAATTTTGACCAGTTACAGCATGCAAATGGAACCAATTTGAAATATAACCAATTTGGTGAAATTGCCTTTTAGTTAAGGTAAATCCCAGAAAACTTCCTAATGTGTTGAAAATGTGTCAAATAAATTCCTAGCTTAGATATTTAAATTGAGGATGTTATAACAATTTTATTACCACATTTTTTGATGTATAGAAATGGGAAATGATTAGCATAATGCATTAAATTAATAGAATATTTACCAGTTTTACAAAATCAATTAAAAGCAGTTGTAAATAATGGGATGTTGGTTGACTCCTTAACACATGTAAAATAGATGGATTTTTAATGTATTTTAACAAGCTTACAGTATCAGTTGCTTTTTGTTGAATAAGATTAAGATCCTAAACCTCTCAGAGGCAGAAAATGGTGTAACATTTTCTTCTTACAACACTCAAATGAATAGCACCGTAATTTACTCATGTAAACCTAAATTGACACCATTCCCACATCCTCATCCCAAAATAGATGTTCAGCGTGTGTGTGTGTGTCTGTTTTCTCGGCATGAATGAATGACTGTGATTTTCACGTTTATGCAACTTGAAATAAAGCTAAACAATGAGGAAGTGGAGCAGAAAGAGAGGCAGGGCGAAGTCAGGGAAGGAAGCATATTTGTGTGTGTGTATGTGTATGTGTATGTGTGTTTCTCTCACTCTTCTGTAATGAGTCTGTCTTTATAATTGGGCTGCTGAAGGGCTCAGCTCTGCTTGCTCTCGTTACCTTTTCACTTGCTGTGGATGGCATGAAGTCAACCTGAGGTTGGAATATTGCATCTCTCTCTTTGCACAGACACACACACACAAAGACACACACACACACACACACTTGCACAAACATGCATATATACATACATACAGTACATACAAATGAAATGCATAGTCTGATCACCACATCAGACAAACAAATGTGATGCAAGCATAGGCAGGAGCTGCATAATGACTTTAATTTTTGCAGATCAGAGGATGCACAATTTGCAATGTCTACAAACACGGAAAATAACAGAGCTGTGGTCATTTATTAACAGTGACGTACAACATGCTGATTAATAGGATTCACAAAACAGACATCCATTGTGTGTGTGTGTGTGTGTGTGTGTGTGTGTGTGTGTGTGTGTGTGTGTTCCCTGTAAGTTTAAATGCATTGATCCAGGTAGAAAACCTAGCATTGTGCATTGATTACTATGCATCAGTCCATCCTCTCTTAGTGGCTCAATGACTTCAGAGCCATGAGGCTCTTCAGACACAATGACGTTATTCCTTTAATCTAATTACTCCTCCATTACACTGAGAGTAGATTCCACATTTTTTATTCCGCTGCCGATCATTCACTAATGTGTTTTAGCAGCCAGTTTATTGATCACTGGCCACCCGTACTCTGAACAGAGTTAAACATTCACAGTGGTGTTTCGGTTGGCAGTAACTTCAAAGAACTCAAAGCTCATCCTTCAGTCCTTCACTCCCCTTCTCAGAGTCACTGTTTCCACAGCTTACTGGAAGCATTTTTACATTAGTGTCAAAAGATTCAAATTCATTTTCATTATTGTATTCAGCACCAAAATCTATATACAAAATGGCATATTCCCTTTTGAACGCTCTTTAGAAAATAACAACTTTAAGGCAGACTAATCATTTTATTAGTCTGAGACTGCTTTAAGTTTCATTATTACATTTGATCACAGACAGTATGTGTGATAAAAAGGTTTTCTAAATAATGTAGTGACTACTTTTGCTCCAACAGTTGTCTGCGAGCAAAGACATCGTGGTATGCATCAGATCTTCCAGAAATTGCTTCAAAAGAGTAAAAAAAAAAAAGTGCTCAATGAGTAACCCTGCACAAATGTTAAGTATCAAGTGCACTGTCTATATCAAACCCAAAGGAAGCCTGGAAGCTTTTTCAGAGAAACAATAATGCAGAGTCTCTGCTCCTCAAGCACCTTAAAGCTAATTTTTATGATCTGAATATTCAACAGGTTCTTTGCCAGGAGAGGAAAGGTTACAATATTTGTCTTTTAGCTACACTGAAATGTCTTGTTAGCATTAGATGCTGCACTGAGCTGAACTGCTTGTAAAAATACTAAGCTGTACAATGCTAGAGAACTTGCATGTCTGTAGTGTAATTAATGACGGATTACAGAAAAAGAGTCCATTTTAGGGACTTTTTTTGGTTTGGAAATTGGAAAATGAGCCCTATGTAGGTGTCTGAAGAACTCCTGCCAGCTGTAAGACTGCAGCTCTGACCACGGACCTCCCTGGGAAAATTCTAATCTGTAGCACCTGGTTAATTTAAAGGGACCAGAGGTAACACGGTAGTTAAGAACACAACATTTGAATTAAGTTAAAGTGTGTGTCGGATGTACACATTTTGAATTCATCATCCACAAAATAACAGTGATAGGTAGCAGGTGTACTAGATACATACAACATAAGAGTCCTTAACTCCCATTTAACCATGTTTCACTTCTCACTAGAATTCAGCTCGGATTCCCTTCGAGGCTCTCTGCTCTGGCAGTTTTCGCCGGCGCTTCTTTTGCCTCCTCCTGGTGGCCGCGTCAAAGCAGGTGACCATCATGACGTTGGCCTTGCAGAGGTTGAGCCTGTTCTCCAGCCGAGCCGTCACCACTTCAAGGGCCTCCAGATGCTCCAGGGAGTCCACCTCGAAGGTCTGCCACAGGTCGACTGGAGGAGGACAGCGAGGTGGCAGACTGTGAGGTAAAGGGTACTAACCAGTGTATAACTATATGGGGCTATTGTTTGTTGACAATATTAAAATGATGATAATTTGCTGCCTCATAGCCAACTAATGACTATAATAAATACTTCACAGGATGCTGAGATTCCTAATTACAAAACACAACATGTATGCAGTTTTGGAACAAACCCACCCCAATTATTGGTTCTTCAAGACACTCCCATACCATAAAGGTTGCTTTTCCACTATTGCCCTGGGGTGGTTACCAATGTCAGTCTTGCCCCATATTGCCTAAAAGCACCATGCACTTTGTGTACAAAGCAAAAAATATAATGTGCTATAGCAGGAAATTACAAATAGTGCTGAGGATAGTGCTAATGATGGTAATGAGGACCCTGGATTCTGCCCTAGTTTCCTTCACTGAATGTTTACCTTCTTGGTCAGTGAAATGTTCAGTTGATAAAAACTTTTTTTTGATAATCTGATAATGTTTTGAATGAACCCATTATGTGTTCTGGAGCTTTTCTTTGTCATAAATGCTGGTTAATTCAATATCTTTGGCAAAATAAGCTATTTATGCTACCATGCCCTGTGAAAAAGTGTTTTTTATTTCATAGGAAAAGGAATTAATTAATTAATAAGATAAAACATTACAGTATCATCATTATCATTTTAATATATATTATATAGAATGATAATCAGTAGTCGCAGCTCTAATTGATAGTTAGAGATTTTTTACATTCTATTCCTGAGGTTATCTTTTTCGACAGTGAATCTGTTAAATGTATAACAAAATGTGGTCCAATAAGTCTCTATATGGATTTACTGTAATTTTCAAAAGGTGACAAATAATATTTTGCATGCTTATTTTTTCAAAGAAAGAATAATTTGACTGACACTCTTGGTTCCACTTGGCGGGCTCCAGCATGAGGTTGTGTTTGGCCTGCTCTAGCTCTCTCCTCAGGTGGCTGTATTTGGCCCGGACCTCTGAGATCCTCTGCTGACGGTGCTCCAGAAACTTCAGCTTGGCACTGAAGCATGCAGGCCCCTGAAAACACAAACACATACACACATTTCACTACTTTTATTTATGTTCATATAGCACATAATAGTTTATTTTGAAAAAGTTTGTATTTTTAAAACTTAACTTTTGCTACTGTTGTTCTCATTAAAAATGAACAATATGTGGTGTATTGCCTCCAGTAGTGTTTGGCTCCTCCACACACACACACACACACACACACACACGCACGCACGCACGCACACACACACACACACACACACACACACACACACACACACACACACACACACACACACACACACACAGGCTGTTTTAGAGGTTGGATGAACAACAGCACCTCCCCACTCTCTCTTTCTCTCTCCACACACACACACACACACACACACACACACACACACACACACACACACACACACCACATCATAAACACCATGTTAGGGCAGAGACACCTCTTGGGAGTGAGACCAGACATGTCTTTAGGCTAGAAAATGGAATTACTCTCCGGTTATACTAACCTTATTACACGTAAGGGACAGTTTCAAAGGTCAATACATGCATACTGTGAAGGGAAACAAAAGAAAACCTCTAAATATGAAGAATGGAGTGCTGCCATTGTTTTTATAACTCTTCTATTGACTTCAGTTAATTTTTTTCTTTTAAAAGTCTTCTGTTTTATCAACAACGTGTTATATTGGTTTTACTTCCAGTGTTCTTCTTTGTCCTTTGCAGCAGCATTGACCCAATTTCCCCCCATGTGGTCATTAAAATTGTATAAAAGTTGCCTGCCTGAGACTGGTGGAGGCGGGGAATAGTCTCTTGAGGCCAGACTGCTCGTCATGGGGGCATGACGTCATCACATGCATTTTGTTTTAAGCACATTTGAACTGTAAATGCCAGGTGGACTCTTTAATTCAACCTTACCCAGGTTCAATTCACTGCTATATGTCATGCTGCTTCTACAATATCTCACACATGAAACCTGATAGCTGCCCAAGCACGGTCTTTATTTGTGTCCGCTGCAGAAGTTGTGCCTTCAATAATAACACCTCAAGGGCACACTATCAGAGTGCCCTTGAGGTGTTATTTTTCCCAAGAGATCAAGCCAGACAAACTCTTCTTGAACCTTTAGGCCAATACAGGAGCTGTGCTTAGAGGATTTTTTGAAGTAAGGGAATGCTTTGTCTGCTTAGAGGCTGTGGAACACACAAAACCTGCAACGCTTCAAGTAGCCGTCTATGGTTTTTCTTTGGTGGTCACATTTTGGTTGTCATAGACATTTTAAATGTGACATGAGCATTGTGGATAAGTTGTGTAGATGTAGTGAGTGCGAAGTTAGCATGGCCCATAGTCAGAAAGGCCATAAAATGAAAAATATAAAGATGTTTTCTGCATAGTTTTTTGCTAATATAAAAGTGTGAGGATAGACAGAAGGGTTGACATGAGATTTGTTAGCATTAGAGCTTAGAAAAATTCAGGTACTTTGAATGAGGTCCAAAATGGAACCTGTCAAAAGGAGCTTTAGAGACCCTAGAAGAGGACATACGATCTACTAACGTTGCTATTCCCACTGGTTGCCAATAGAGGTTGATAAAGGTCATATTTTACATTATGCCCTTTAACCTCCTAAAAAAAAATCAAAATAAACCCAGCACCTGTTTGCCAGCACCTGCTCTTTTCTGCATCCTCTGCACATTGTCGATCTCATAGACCTTGATCTCGTAGGCCTCTGGGATTCCCCGATCCACCCAGCGAGACCGCAGACCACTAGTCGAGCGTCTCAGGGACAGGGGTGTATCATGGGAAAGACGACGCTGGTGAGTACCTACAGCAGGGTGAGGCAGAAAGTGCGGTGAGATGCTGTATCTCAACTTGTTCTTTCTCTTCCTCCTCTTCTAAAACTGCACATACAGTGAAAATATTGAATTTAAAAAAGATACCTAATCAAACTATATTTAAGGTAGTATTTTATTTTAGTTACATTTTATTAATTTTAGTGTTTGGCATGATCACTTGCCAATACTGACACAAAGAGAAGCCACTGCTGCCACTCAATTTAAAAACTTTATTCATACCAATACAAATGTATTCTTGCAATAGATGTACAATACATGGCATTAATTTAAATTCAGCAACATGAACTAAGATTAGGCTGTTTTGAGGTCACACTTTTACAAATGAAAAAACCTGCTTATGCTCCTCATGGATCTACAAGGTGGCTAATGCTGTATTCTTGAGCCGCTATATTAGTATCGTCAACAAACACTCTACACTAAAAGCATCAATCCTCACTGTAAGTAAATTTGTATCATAAATGAGGGCTGGTCCCTAAGTGGCCTTCAATGCTCAGGCCATGTGTTTGTAGTTTGCCTGAGGGCAAATGCAGCTTGTCAGGGCTACCATATTATTCATAGAAGTCGAGACAGGAGACACAATTTCTGTAAGTGGGCCAGTACAGGAAAAAAATAGTTATATGCTTTATGTCACTGAGTCCTTAAGAATATATCTAATATATCTAACGATATAGGTACAGCTTTCATCAAAAAGTAGAGAGTTGATTACTTAAGGATACACTTAAGGAGAAATTAAGTACAGGCAGAATTGAATCACCCAATTAATAATATATTATGTTTTTCATATGTTCATCCAGCAAAAGCTTTGTCTTCTATTTTAATTGCTCCATTAGCAGTTTTCACTGTATTAACCATGTGCTCAACAAAATGCTATTAAGTGCTACAGTATTTACCCATAGCAAGTATGTAAGTATACACACAGCCATTTTTACAGTTCACTGTTTCAGCCAAACACACTTCATTTTCTGTATTGGCGGCCATTGGTAAGTGCCATCACTGGGTTCATATATTAATGATGTGACCTCCTACACAATTAGGCTTTCAATGCCAGTAAGGAAACTAGGTCTGACTGCCTTCTCCAGATGTGTGTCATCTCCAATTAATGTCACATTAATATGTTATGTGGTCAGATTACAAGCCAAAAAATGGTTTGTGGTTTGGTTTGAATTGTCTGAATGTGTAGAGAAAATACTGGACTGGATTCAAATTTCCATAGGATTTACCTTTTTTTTTTTTCCAGATACCATACAGCACTTTAATCTGACAATTTTACCTTTGCATTTAATTGTATTGGTGTGAAAGTGCCAGCACACAATTGGGACATTACATTGTTCAGAACATCAAATTATAAATGTCTCTGCCCTCAACTGCATTACCATTGACCAATGATAGAAATATTACAAAAGTAAAAGAAAATGTGGAATACATTATAATAACTGCCAGTTGATATTATTGAATTTGATAGAAACAAGTAAAAAAATGTTTTAATTTTTTTTATTATGGATTATCAGCTCAACATGCTTGCTAACTTTTGATTATTTTGAGACTACACTAACACCTAAAACCAACAACACACTCAGCACTTGGATTAGCTTCAGATTTTTCCAGAAGAGAAAGTCTTCCAGTTCAGTTCATTAAAGGCCAGTTTTTCCAGGTGTTTTACCTGTGTTGCCTCTCCTCCGAGATGATCGGCTGCTGCGAGCTACACTGAGGAGGGAGCCGCTCCTGTCGCTGACAGAATCTCTGGTTGAAGTGCTACTGCCTGTGGCTTCACTGTCCCTTACCATGCTATCATATCCACTGCTCACCAAACTGTTCCTGTTGGAGAAATGCAGGGATGTCTTCCCCATAGCTGGTGGTAAATCTCCACTCAACACACTAGTGGTGTCACTCGCATGCCCACTCAGGTGATCAGGTGTGCGGGGAGCAGTCACCCGGCTGTATGGTGAGGGAACTGTTATCATGTGGTCCAGTCCTCCTGAAGTGGGGCTGGAGGCCCTTTCCTTAAGGAGGTCTGAGATCCGGCCATTGACAAACCCCTGGATGACAGATTTCGTGGATGAGCATGTGGAGCTCTGGCTCGGAGTTCGACTGATGGAGTGAAACGACCGTGGAGGGGAAGAGGAAAGAAAGGAGGATGTCCGCTCAAAGCTAACAGTTTTGCCATCTGGGGAAAGACTGGCGCTGCGGTTAATGGACTGCCGCAGGCCTTTGTGGGGGAGACTGAGGTTCTTGATACTGGGGGCAGACAGGCGACGGACTTTAGGGCTAGCCATCTTAAGTTTCCCCACAGCAGAGAGCTTGGAATGGGTATGCCTAGCAGACTGAGTTAAAGGGTCTTCAGAGGGAAAGAAGTGATGACTCTGATCAGACCGAGGATTCTTCCTGGGGCTGCGGCTAGCCCTTGGTAAGGTACAATCTCCCTCATTACGTCCTTTATAACCTCCCTTACAAGCACCGTCAGTACTTCCCTTAGAGCTTCCCTTAGAGCTCATAGAGTTATTACTACTATCTCTATCCAGAGTTGGGAAGTCCCTTGGGGTTCTACCAAGGGAATTAGTCCTGGTAGCCAGCTGCTCCAATTTGGCACTGAAAAGCCTGCTGCTGTCCTCAATGGGTGACTTTGGCCTCCCACTCATGTGATCATGTTTCATCCTTGTACTTGAGGTCTCAAACAAAGATTCAATACTCTTTCTGGGAGCACTACTAGAGTGCTGTTTGTATTCTGCTCCATATTTCCGAGGAGAGGACACACGGAGGCTGTGGTTCGCTGGGGAGTGCTGTCTGCCCTGCCTCCTCTCCAAAGTTACCCTTGGGCTACATGGGGTGGATGATGTCACCCCCCTTGGGTCTCTGTGGTCGTCTGTCATGTAACCGCCATGGTAGCTGTCCTGGTGGCTGGCATTTTGCCAACCTCTAGGCAAACTACCAGCTTTAAAGGAAGCAGGGGCGGTTTCTTGGCAACCAGGTGAAGCACCAATTCTCTTGAGGGCATTCCCAACACGTCTGGAACAGATTTCTCCCCCTTCTGAGCCCCTTGGAGTGTTAGTGGAACAAACATGCTCCCTGTCTCTAGAGTGGCTCTTGTCTTTATTTCTCTGTCTCTTTCCACACATTTTGTTTTCAGCAGTTTCGTCACAGAAAGCTGAATCTTCCAAAACCACTGGGTCATACGACGAGTCACATACTTTGTCAGACTTTTTGTCATGTGTCTCAGATGCACACGCCCCGGTCCTCTTCTCAGGAGCCTTCCTATCATCTGGACATTTGACATTGCTCCCTCTGAGCTCAGACCACGACTTGGCACCTGTAAAAGTGTCAATAGGACTTTGTTTTTCTTTTGCACCATCCAACTCACAGTCCATATCTGTATTAATCAGCATGGGATTTATAAAGGAAGGTAAGAACTTCTTTTCCCTCCTGAATTGATACTGGGGATTTTCAGTTTTAGCCTCTGTAGAGTTTTTGTTTGTATTAGAGGAACCTGCAGCTACAGATTCTTCGCTGACATTGCTGATTATCCTGATCGGTTGAGAGCTAGCAGAGCCTTGAACATGACCCTGTGATTGGGCAGTATCTCTGATACAAATAATGTTTCCACCCGTCCTCCCTCTGTTCAATGCTCCACTGATGGTCACCTCCTCCACCATGGAGAAGACAAGTTCATCTTGACCTTTCAGGTCCAGTGGCTGTTGAACAGTTACTGTGATAGTGGCCTTCATTTCCTTGATGTCCTCTATGGGCTGATTAGGTAAGACATCTATAACACTGGTAGCCAAGGAGTGTGAAGAGGAACAGGAGGAGGAAGGAGATATGGGGGAGCTCTTGCCAACTGGTGAGGTCCTTTTGTCTGGTTTGAACCAATCAGCAGCTTCAGGACTCCCCTGTTTACCTGTAGGTGCAAGGGAACTGGTGATGGCCATGCCCTGAGCACCAACATTAATGTCTTGAGAAAAGAGCTTATCATCTGACTTAAGAGGGCCATTTTTGGGGAGCTCAGAGTGACTGGTCTTGTTAAGACTGTGAGTTTGATTCAGCAGTTCCTCACTGGAACTGGTTGCACTGCACTCCTCGCAGTCATACAGACCCGAATCTTCTCTCTGAAAACTGTCTCCGGGGAAGGTGCCATCTGTTTGCTTTTCTACAACAGAGGTCTGACTGCAACCTAACCCCTGATTCAAAAATGTCTGTGGTGTTTCTGATGATTCGCTGTCTGCCTGTTTCCTTGTTTCTTTCTGGGGTTGTGAATTGGTTGTGACATTGTTAACAGGTGGCCCTTTTAAGGAAGACTTGAGCACATCCATTGTTGTCTCACTTCCATCGATACAGCCCAGGCGCTCTTGAAGTTCAGCAAATGTGTCACATTTAAGACAGTCCCTCCCTGGTTTCTTTATGTCTGCTTTCAGCACTTCAGTATTCCCTTGAACAGTTTCCTCAGACTTCTTCTCTGCCTGCAGCTGAGGAATTCTCAGAAGCTCTTGGAGCAGAGCAGTAAACTCTGGGTCGTCCATGTCAGCCTTGTTAGGATGCAAAGAGGGTATGATGGGCACAAATTCAGGTTGTGCCAGTCTTGAGGTTGTTTTGGACTGGACCAAGCCATCGGAGTCTAGTTGGATGACTGTGTCACAGGACTGGTCACTACTGGAGCGCTCATCCAGTTCGCCACGCAAACGGAAACGAGGGATGTCAGCATCCACCTCATCAGTGGAGTGGAATGCCCTCAGGGACAAAGACTGAGGTCCTCTCTCATAATCTTTAGTCAAACTCCTCCCGGACGGAGAACATGAGGTGGACTGCTGTTGGATGAAGATAAATTGTGGAGTTAGTTATAGAACTGGACTATCCAAAACATAACATGTACAGTACGTTTTAAAATAGATACAAACAGAAATTCTAAAACTCCCACATCCTTTACAAAACAACATATGATCCCATTACAATGTGGTTGTTGAAAGACGTTAAAGGGCATTTAGGGTACCTTCGTCCTCTTCTGCGTCCTGCGGATGCGAGAAGCCAGCTGGATGGTTGATAAGGTCTCTTGAAGGTGAGCCAGAGAATCAGCAACCTCAGCCATCACTGTGGTATGGCAGTTTACATGGCCCAAGGATTCTCGAAGGAGCATAGTCAACTTACTTCCCCTATGTAGAGACAGCGCAAATGTCCATTAACTCACAGGATATATGCCAAATCTATCTGACATCTGGATGTAGTTTTTTATTTTCTTTAGCCAGTATAAAATGGTTTAACAGGAAAAAGACCATTTTTAGAAACTTGGAAAGTTACAAGACCAATCAACTTCATCTCACTGTCAAAATATGCAATTAACTCTACACCAACATATGCCAAAATGTTTTCTTCAATAGTATTTTGGAGACACATTCTTACTTGTTGGGGGTGGTTTTATGTCCACTTAGAAGAGACAGGACAACAGGGCCCAGTTCAGAATATGGAGGTTTATTTTTGTTTATACCCCTCATACCACTACATACATCTATCATGGTCAACTTAGTGGGGCCACGTGAACCTACGGATGGAAATCAGAGAGGAGAGAAAAGCATAAATGCCAAAAGTTTAGCAAGTTTTCAAATATGCAAATAAAGAACACAAGAATTATAAGTATATTAAACTGCATTAAAGAAACAGTGTGTAGGATTCAGTGGTATCTAGCAGTGAATTGGCAGATTGCATCCATTTGAATACAACTCAACCATCCAAGCTTGCTTGCTTGCTTGGAGAGACTACAGTGGCTGCAAAACTCGCACAAAACGAGAAAGGTCCTGTCTAGAGCCAGTGCATGCTTTGTCCATTCTGGTCTACTGAACAAACATGGCAGTTCAACATGGTGGAATTCGTGGAAGAGGACCTGCCCCCACTGTAGATATAAACGGCTCATTCTAAGGTAACAAAAACACAACAAGTCATATTTTCAGGTGATTAAACACAAATGAAAACATACGTATGAACATTACATTCAATTTCTGCAAATAGATCCTCCTAATGTTACACATTGGACCTTTAAATCAGCAGTGAATTGAGGGTTAATGGTGGAAAATAATTCATGTGTAAAAAACAAATTCACTGGGGACAAGCCGCCCTGGTAACTGAATAATTCATTACAACCTTTGCCAATGGTGCTGCTTTCTGTACGAGGGGGCTGGACGTGGAGAGTGAAGAACATTATGGAGCTGTGGGACAGGTATGTAACAAAGTCACTGTGTCTCCGTGCTGCAATGGCCGCATCCAGGAGTGAAGCAGCCCGCTCAGCAGTGGGGGCCTTCACCCGGTTGTGGTTACGTAGCTGAAGGGAGGGGAGAAAATGGTCATAAATCTCACGTGGATAGAATCTTCTTATAAACTACTTAAATGAAAACCATCTGCCATTTTATTTTTTTCCCATCAATCTGCCACATGTATCCCACTATTGTCTATCCCTGTGTTTTTTGTTATTAAAGTAACACATTTAGTAGCTTAGACTTGTCAGAGGTTTGCTCTTTCTGAGAGATTTCCAGTGTTTACTGTGATGTAATTTTAGTAACAGGAAGTAACAGCTCCATTGGTACAGTATGTTTCATTTTCATAGTATTCAGTGAAGAAATAGAGAGAAATGCAATGCACAGTGAGGTGGTGGCTTACAATTGACAAACATTAGTGCGAGGGAGGAGGCAGCTGCACAATCATAATGCAATCAGATGTAATCGTTTATGCAATGTAATAGGCTTCACTCGCTACCACTTATTATCTTCTCACATACTGTGTAGACCATTACACACCTACTCTTAAACATTATAAAAGACTAGGATATCAACAGGGTATTGGATATGCTCAAATATGGCAACGATAACCTTTTCAAAAAGTTGGAGAAGAAAGAGGGAGGCTGTGTTCACACTGTCGAACAAGTCTGCCAACAGTGGAAAATATTTATTTGATGCAGAGGCAAAATGGCTCAAGCAGCAGAAATTCTTCCACAAGACGTACAGTACATCGTTAACAGTTAGGTTAATTGAAGTATGCACAGCCGCATGTAAATGGGATGATTAGTGGAATATTCATTTTTATTAGCCATGTAAACAGCTTAGTAAGGACAGTGTCCTTCAGAATAAGGGCTAAAAACACAATATTTTGTGCATGTAAACATAGTCACTGAAATTTCATACTAAAACTACCTCAGCTATTAAAACAACTGTAAAATAACTCTTATTTGTGTATGAATTCTTAAACTGAGTCTTTGCAGTGCATTGGCAGTTAAACAGAGCCAAGAAATTCTCATTCGTCAGCAACTAATAATATAGCCACGGCTCTCTGGTTTCCAGATTTGGGACAGTCTTCTATTCTGTTACCAAAGATTGATTACACTGTAATCATACCGACGACAATAACTCTAATGTAAAATTCTATTTGGTTTTAAGATGGATTATGTTCTTCTTCCAGGAATATCCTGACAATTTGGGTCAATGGAGCCTTGTGTGATTGCACTTAGACGGAACGACAGACAGGCAGAGACACAGCAGTTTATTTAACAAGTTTTAACAAAAACTTTTCCTTCTACCTGAATCCCATAGACGGGGTCCTCTTGGAGTCTAATATGGGCTTTTGGGCTGTCCTGGATACTGCCTAATGAGGGGACAACCTCCCCCAGCAGATCCCTTAGTGTGTCCTCCTCTCCACAGCAAAGCTCTATAGCAGACACGGATACAGTCAGATCGGTCCAGGTCTTCTCCCTCCGGCGCTCGATGGCACTGTACAGCCAGGAGATGGCACAGGGAATCAGCCCGAGCTTCTGGATGCTCTCACCGCTCCCCACCATGCTGGACCAGGAGCCTGAGGTAGACAACAGAGCACACTGATGTATGCATGCTACATACAGAAACACATACATATACTACATATACATGCACCTGCTAGCCTAAAACACATGGGCACCTCATCAGCACATACAATATACACTTTGAGATGAGTATGATCCAAGCTAGTGCACTAGCTTACACAAATCAATAAATAAACTGACAAAAAAACACAAATAAAGATGGAGCAGACTGGCAGAAACACACCCACAAACAGTTTCAGATTTTCTTCTGGACTGATGCCGTACTGTATCTCCAAGTGCACTTTTGCCCCACATTATTTTTGAGTTATGGGCCTGTTTTACCCTCTCTTGTCTTATCCAAACTCTAATTGAATGAGGATAGGAGAATTGGTTTACTCCAATTAAAGGCCAAGCTGCCTGCCGTTATTCAGAGAGAATAGTATTCTGTGGAGGAGATTGATATCCCCTGGCTGTGGGCCACATGTAGTTTGTATTGGCCAACTAATTCAATCAGATTTACGGAGAGTGGCGTCATGTGAAAAAGCAGCTCCAAGGAGACCCTGTCCTTACCCTGTATGTGCGTGTGCGTGTGCGTGTGCGTGTGTGTGTGTGTGTGTGTGTGTGTGTGTGTGTGTGTGTATGTGCGCGCCACAAATCTATTAAACCTCTTCACCGACCCTAAGTGCAGGGTTCCATCTCTCTAATAGCAAGGTATTATTGTCAATTTTGTTGACAGTCCCCTCTGAGCTCAGTGTTTCAACAAAATAAAATAAAATATTTGTGTATTTTTGTGCAGCATGCTGATGTGTCTATCAGGCAATGGGACGCTTTTAAAAACGCATATGTGTTGTATAATTGATGAATAGGCTTTCATTTACAAAGGAACAGGTGAAAGATGAATGACTGAGAAGGAGAGGGTTTAAATGGCAACACTTTTCTGTCACTATGTGGAAAAAGGGAAGACAGAGGAAGACAAATGGAGCAGGAGAGGAAGCGAAAGAACAGGGAGGCTGGAAATGTGTATCAAGATTGATAAGAGGAAGGAGAGAGAAAATAGAGACAAGGAGTTTAAGTGATAGAGGAAGAGTGAATGATAGCAGGAGTGGGACAGAAGTAGGAGGAGGAGGGTGGGGGGGCGGGGGGGTGGATGGCCCCTGAGCACAGATAAAAGCGTCCCACTCTCATCTTAAGATTTTAACCCATGGCCTCTCACAGCGACCGATTACTCACCCACATCAGCACATCCCAAACCCAGGACACATCCATCGCTGCCGCTGAGCACGCAGCGGATGACATCAGCCAAGACGCCTGCACTCACCTCGGCCTGGTCAGAGAGAACAAAGGACGGCAAGCATCTTATGATTCATCTCCACGCTGAAAAAGTACATCCAATGAAACCAGAGGAGGGATGCATACTGATTCTGTAGATTCCCTTGGGCTCAGATACTGTAAGCAGAGCTTGGAGAAGGTTGAATATAATTGATGGACTGTGTAATTGTGGTGGCTATCCAGGCCCTATCAGTTTTCAGGTCATCAGACCGGGAGAGAGCAACCCAACCGTGGTGTGTAGTATGAAGAGGGGAACATTGAACACTTGAGAGAACACAGAATGCTGCAGACAAATGTTACACTATCGAAGTATCTGTCAATGTTAAACAACTCCAAGATCAGTATTAAGTTAGTACAAGTAGACACATTTAAAACCATATTTTTGAATTATGTTGAGCAGTAATCAGGATGAAGAACCAAACCTGGCTTGACTCTTGAGGATAGACAGCGTCAATGTTGAATGTCTTCAGAAGACTTTTGCCAGTCCTGTCTAGTGTCATTGTAGCGTGTGGTTTGCTTTTGCTGACTGGTTCCATTATGGTGACTCTTTTCTTGGACGGGTCAATCCGGAGAACAGGTGGTTGGCCTTGGCCCACTGATAGTGTTGGACTCACCCTCAGCACGACTTTGACCTGCACACGATGGATGGAAGCATGTTGAAAATTACAGTATGTTATGAACTGTTGAATACCAACAGAAAATTTAAATATGATGGGGTAAACATACTGTAGCATGGCTCTAGGGGTTGTTTTATGGTTGTAATATCTTGGGTGGAGCCTTAGCTTTTCCTCCAGCGCCATCATCAGCTACAAAGTTTTATTTGGTTTCTGACCGGATACCAGAAAAACTTGGCATGAGCACTGATTAGCAAATGTTAGGCAGTTATGGCAGTCATATTAATAGCACCCATTAATTATGTAAATATAATAAATAGATTGACACTGAACATTCTCATACTGCCCCCAGCTAGTGCTAAGTCAGCTAGTGAGTAGCTACAGGCTGACAGTGTAAATGCCTTTTACAAGGGTTGCTGTGGGAAGACACTAGTAGGCTATTGCACTTACCACTGTATACATACTGTATACACATATACAGGAAAGGGCTAAACGTTTTTAACTGCACTGAGACACCTTGAAAAGAAAACTCCATCATTTATTAAATGTAAGGGGTGAGTAGGTGCTCTGCTTTTACTGAGCAACATGTATGTAAGTGATTGCAGAAGAAGCCTGTGTAACTTTTGAAACTAAACACAAGCAGCAAACAGAAACCTATGAAAAAAGAATGAGTTTCAAAATAGTAAGGTTCAAAAATATCTTCATATCAAATTCAGTGAGTTTTAGACATAAGAGTCTTGGCATCCCAGAATCTGAGAGCACCATATGAGTGAGAAAGCTCTATGTACACACTGTATGCATGCCACAAAATCTTCAAAATGTTTCCGTAAGTTGTTATATTGTCGCTTACAGCACTTTTTTTTTCTATTTATACACTGCTTTTTAAAAGTGTTTTAAAACTTGATGCATACAGGGGTTTTAACACAGGATCAAACGTAGCTGTGACAGGGAAGTAATAGTCAGACTTCAGCTCTGAGCCCCTGCTGCTCAGCCATGGGAGGCTAAGATGTTATTTTATGCAACATGGGTTGTGAGAAACCTCGGCTTGAAAAGGGAAACCTAGGCGGAACAAAGCAGTAAATGTCAAAAAGGATTAGGTTTGAGCATTGAGCGATAGATAGTGTACTCTGCTGTTGTAAATGTTTTGAACTGGCAGAAATATGAGGCAATCTGTTTTTTTTTTGGGCTTCACAGCCATCAACTAATTTGTATAAATACAAAAATGAAATTTAATTTTACGTGAAATTGATATAAAGACATGTTTTCTTTAGGCTGCAGCAGACAACCAGTTGATCCAGTCAGTGAAAGCATACATGTACTTAAACCTGCATGTCTATGCATACCTCCTGCTTTATTTCCGCATGTCATGACATTAATTCCTTAATGCAGTTCTCTACAGGAAGCCTCCAGATTTAGAGGCTTTAAGGTCTTAAATTAAGTTAGATCCTGACTCTGACAGCATTTAACAAGGCTCATAGGTCTTAGTCTGCAGGACGACAAGGCAACATTTACCTCATACAAGATAATAAGCTCTATTAAGGTTTATAAACCAATTATAAAATTATTCTTAATCAGGATTCAGGCCTGCAAGATTGCAAGTATGCCTGCACACCATGACACCCAGTCGAATGTGGTTTTCTTGAAATTGTCCAGGACTGCATTACACCACAATGACATCATCATGACAATTTAAAAACGAAGCAAAGGATTTTTTTTTAGCTCCCTCATAATTTTAATACCTTATGCAAGAGGTGGCTCCCTAACTCTATTGAACATGTGTCAAACTCTATTTATGAGGATTAAATTATTCAAGAGACCCATTTAGAAGCGGAGAAAATCCTCCTCCGCTCTCACACATATACATAATCTGGCACGCAGAGGCACACAGAGCTGAGTGCTCAGGCAGGTGTGGCTGGCGGTGGGGTCTGTCTGAGCCCTTATCTGTAACTCTAGACTAAACCCAAGAGTCCATCTATCTGAGACAAGGGGAGGGCAGGCAGCCATATTGATCTCCCCCAGTTTCTCCCAGAGGAGGGGAGTGGAGGGGAGGGGAGGAACAAGATGGAGACATTAGCACCACATTACAGTGTATCATAAAGAAGGCGTGATATAGGATCTCCTCCAAATTGACTATGATCTCTTTACTCTGCAACCAGGGTGGTAAAAACACTTCCAAGGTGGTGGTAGTGGACGAGGGTGGTAGAGTTTGAAAGATACACCACCGATCTGGACCTATTCTATGTAGTCTATGTAATGTACACGTCACAATATAAGATACAAAGTGGCCCAGGTAACACAGGATCTTCATCAAGTGAATGTCACAGTCTTCTGACACTACTTTGTTTCTGCAGGTGACTCTAAGATGACTGTTGGTAGAACTTTTGTATATTTTCTATTTGAATTAATATTAAGATATGAATGTGTGTATATACTGTAGCATACAATAAATGCATGTCTTATGTATTTACGACATACATTATAGAGGACAGACAAGTTGGGTGCCTCTTCCATTATTGAGCAGGTGGTGTATTTTTTCCCTGCAACTGTCCCGCTGATGTACATGATCTGCTGCACAGAGTCAAGAGTTCAAATTTGTTGACCCCTGAACCCAAGCTGCACTGATCTTCGTGAGTGCAGCTAATGGGCTACTGCTTGTGCTGTGATCAAAGATGGAGTATACATTAATAAGATTTGTTTCTGAACATAACTATATGATAATAAATCATCAATTATTACTGAGACCAAAACAAAAAAAGGTGTTAGGTTTGTTACAGAAAAACTGTTTGAGTCATAGTCCAAAAGACGTCACTACTGTTAGCAGTGTTTCGACTGTAGCCTGGAGATCTTTGAAAAAGTCATTTCACCTGAACAGAACAGATTATGATGGCTTTAACCTCTCGAAATAGCTAAAACTAATGTGAAAGGGAATAGTTTTACATTTTGGGAAATACACTTTCTTGCCAAGAGTTACATGCAGTGTTGTAGTCCAGACATTGTCGAGTCCAAGACTGGTGAGACATGGTGAGACCAATGGCCAAGTCTGAGACAAGTCTGAGTGCTAATATCGACAAGACCAAGACAAGTCTGAGACAATAGAAAAAATGTCTGTTAAAGTCCGGACTTAGCATAAACACAATATATTTCATGTGTTTAATCCATACAAACCTAAATGTTAGGGGAATTACATGCAGCTTCTCATGCAGTTTTTATGCTGAGCTAAGCTAAATTGACTACTGGCTATAGCTTCATACTTACCGTACAGACATGAGAGTGGTATCAATCTTCTCATCTAAATGAAAGTGGATAAGTGTATTTCCCAAAATGTTAAACTCTTCTTGTATTTAATATTCTGTATCTCCTACAGACCCCCAACTTCCCCCAAGTAATGCTGATCTGTAATTAGCTCCACTTTGACCAAATGCTTAAATTTAGTCCAATAATTTGAATTGAATTTTAATTCAAATCAGGGTAGTTGCAAAGAATTATTAGCAATTGCACCTACACCAAATGTGGTTCACTAAAAAACGTAACAATCTGCATTTACTTTAAATCTAGTGGAATTTGAAGCCCTTTGGTTTACCTTGCCAACATTGGGCGAGTCTTTGGTTCTAGTGGCAGCTTGGAGCAGGCAGGAGGGGACGGGCGGTGGGTTTTTCTGGATCAGCTCCCTGAAGCAGGTGGAGAAATGAGCGGGAGCTGGATCAGAAGCCTGGCCTTTTTTCCTCAACGTCAGGTTGAGCTTCTCGGCCGCCCTACAGGGAAGAAGTCATACCACCGACACTTATGGTGCAACCAGTACACACATGCAGCAGATAAAACTCATGTTTACACACAACAATTGTTGTATTCATAATATAGGCATAGATGTATTTACCTGGCTAAAAGGGACATAGCAGCAGTGTTGGCGATGGTCACCACTCTGGCAATGTGAGGGATCTTTGAGCTAGTCTGTACGATCCCAGCGTCGCCACAGCCCAAAGCGGCATCATCTGCTGCCTGTTAGGGGAGAAAGCTCATTATAAAAATCCAAATCTGTAATTGCACTCCTGCACCCACTCCAAAAGGGGCTATTATCACGGGAATTACTCTGGGGAAAAGCGTGGGGTACGTCTGTCTAAGTAGGGCATCTAGGCTGAGTGCACAGTGGGTTAAACATATACGCCATTAGCTCTGGCTAGCTGCATGTGGAGTGTGAGGAATAGTATGTGACTGCTATAGTGACTGCTGTCTGAGTTTAAAACATGACTCAGAGTTGAAGAGGTGCAGCAAACATACGGTCACTGCCTCTGACACACACACACACACACACACACACACACACACCCTCAATTGAGCAACTTTACGTAAGGCAACTCCAACACTTGCGCAGTTGTAGCTCCGAGGTGTGTGTTTTGAATTCATTCATAACTGTGCCGTGTATGTGCAACATGACCTATTCAGCAAGCTACTGCTCAACATGAAGTCGCCGAGCCTCGCCGCAAGCCACTGAGCCAACATCTCCGGATTACAGCGCTCTCATACCGTCTCATCAGTGTCTCAGCTCTTTTTTTAGGGCAAGATAACAATGTCAGCTCAGTTTTTTTCTTTTAATAATGTCCAACCATTAACTGCAAATTAGTGCCATGGGAGGACTGCAGTAGTCCTGAAGGAGACTGGGAGGAGGATAAAGACAGGGCTAAGTTAATATATGTAGCCAAAGGTAATATGGATAATGTATAGACACTCCCCCGTCCCTCCTCCTGTGTTCTTGTTGACTAGAATCTTCTGTCATAGCCTTCTTGTATCTTCACTTTGTCTTTCTCTGTGCTCTGATATCTCTATGCATCAGCTCTCATGTGGTCTTTTATTATTATCTCTTGTTATTATCTCTCCTCTCCTGCCCTCCACTCATCTCTCTAAATCGTCATTTCTCTCCAGCCTTTTCTCCTGCCTCCCATCTTAAAACACTTAATCTCCCTTTCTCTTCCTCTGCTATTCATTTTTCTTCCGCCCTCCTTTTTGTCTCCTCTCCCTCCTCACTCTTCGTCCTCCACTTTCACTCCTCTCATATTATTTCACCTCAGCCACATAAACCTGTATTGATCTGCTCTCATACTGGACCCGCTTGGCTAATTTCTCATACAGTCTTACAAAGCCCAGGACACTTTCATTTGAGTAAGATGTTACATTGTTGTTGTTAAATTTCATTAGACAAGTCAATTAAGAATAACAGGTTAATTACAATATTGCTCTCCAGTCTATTTCAGTCCAATTGACCATTCGCTGAGCCCCCGCAGTCACTGTTGCTATGCCGTCAAGCTTTCCATTCTGGGCCAGCGGTGCAGCTTTACCACTAGAAATTCTTTGTAATTTTGAATAGGTCTTCGATTTCAGACAGAAGTAGACAAAAGTCGGCTTCTCATTTCTAGCTGGTGACTATCGATTTCGCAGGTTGTCTAATCTGAGCTAATTAGGCTAATGCTAGCAATATTTACCATATTTTCAAAGAGTATCTTTTTTAATGTTACAAGAGGAAAAACGTAACACATTAACTGAAGTGTTTGGTGAATGTAACGCTATTGTGGATAACAGATATGGATGGGGATCTTCAAATATATTGCACAAAAGTGTTTATACCACTGGCCCCGCCCGCATGTTCCCACTTGGCCCTTAGACTTAGTTTGTTAAGGATCAAACCTCTAAAATCCAAAAGTCATAATAGAAAGAGTCCTAACTGACCTTGTTTGCAGTTTGCGGTGTCCTGTCAACAGTTTTACCAACATGTTTTTATAATGTTGTTCTATGGGGAATATGCTTTGTGAGTCACAGGGGAATTTATTTGTTGCAAAAATTGTAAGCAAGGTTGAGCGGCAGGACCGTATCCAGTCATTCTTATTATACATTCCTTAAGTACACTATAGCTAGCCGGAGATGCTAAGGTTTGACACTTACACTAGACACCACCATTTTAACTCAACATAAGGAGTGTCCCTCATCCTATGTACACTGCCTCATTATGTGCTCAGTTATGGTTGCTAACCTATAACTGTACAATTTCTCTTCCAGGGAGGGGTACAGTGAACAGTTAGTTATGATGTCTATGAAAATTCTCTATCAACCAGATCACATGATATCTACATGTACTAAGGAAGGATATTTTGATGAGGAGTAAAAACCCACCCAAGTTGAACCAACATCATATAAAACATCTCAAGACTCTCACTCACCTTCTACAGGTTTATAACCTTTTTCATTGGGGACTTGGGGGAGGGCGGGCTCAGTCTGCTGTGGCTTCCATCACAGTAATGCATATTTCACCAGCCGCCCTGTTAAATATGACCATCCCCCTATTGATCACAAGTGCTTTTTGACTGGCTGGCTTTTATGATGGTAAATCATGACCCAATTCCATTCCATTAGCAAAAGTACTTTAAACTACGTCCTCAGCCGTGGGATCTAAATAGGCTCTGATTAGGCACTATGAATCATTGCTTTGCTGACACGTGCACCCGTAAAGACATACCTTACCCATATAGCTCATTAAAGGGGAATGCACACTAGGCGATGTGTTATGTGTGATTTAGTGGTAGGAGAAGGCTTTTAGGGGTACCTGATGGTGAGGGTAGATGGTGTGACCATCAGTGCTGGACACAGATTTAGAAGCGACCATCTGCTGCTGCTCCTCTACCCAGCGGTCCATATCAGGGTTAGGGAGCTTGGGCCCCCTCCGTCTGAGGGTTTGAGGGGTCCTCTGAGGCGTCCTCGGGCTTCTCGGGCTGTGAGGACTGTGGGTGCGACTGCGCGATTGATGCACAGCCGTGGCCGCTTCCCTTGGAGCCCTTTCCCCATGCTTTGTCTCACTTTGTCCCAGCAGTGTACCAGTGCTAAAGCTGTGTTCAAAGGGAGGCTTAGCTAATGACTGACCCCTGCTCAGAGCCAAGTGGATGGCCTCTTGTTTGAGCTGATTCAGGTTTAGACCGCAGGCTCCACACTCGCCCTGCTCCCTCTCTCTGTCCCTGGGCTCATTGGTGGACCGACTATGGACGCGAAGGTTGTCATGAAGAAACACAGACAGGTCACCAGAGTCCTGCAAAATTACAAAGAAGTAACAGAAATCATTTTACAGTTTGCAGTTAGGTGTTTGAAGTAGTTACTTGCATGCAATTTTCTCAACAGAGACTGACCTAATAAGATCAGAGATTCATCAAGAGACATAATTTGCTTTGTTTGATTTCTGGCTCGAGAATTATATAAATGATCACTGAGCATATGGAAATTGAGTCATGGGAAAGCAATGAAAGCAATCTTAGCACTTAGCGAAGTAATCATAGAGTTAGTAGGACTGATCAATACTACCCCTGTTATCTTTAAATGAGCAGTAAGCAAAACAAATTTAAAATAAACTAGAAAGTGTCATGAATTTCAATGTTACCACACATCATTGGTTAAAGAAGCATTTTATTTTCATCATCCTGCTAAAGCAAGGAATAAATATTACTCCCTGGCCACAGCACAGGTATGGTACTGCTATAAAATGATATGAACAATAGAACACAGCAATGCTTTACTCTGTGAATGAGTGGTGTACAGCCATTCAATCCTTTGCAGAATCATTTGAGGATAATTTAATGAGACTTTAATAGACAGTTGTTATCTAGATTGAACATAATAATATAATTTCATTCAGAGAATCCTGACAGCGTGACATTCGAAAAGGTTTAAATTCTACTACTATAAAAGGTGTTTTTGACATCTGAGTTCTCAGCCTGGACCCAGTCTGTCAAATCTAACAAAATGAATATCAAACAAATCAAACCATCATGTCGCCTTTCATCCTGACAGACACTCTTGTGTCACATCCTGTTTGGTCTGCCCTTGACACCTACCAACATCCAACACGCTCACTCCATCCTCCATCCATCCATCCATCCATCCTGCAAGCTGCCAACACATTGCCAGTGACCCATATACCCCCAGAGGAGCACTGTAGGAGCTCTCAATAATTATGTAAAACAAAGCCATTAAAACTCCAAAAGTGCTGAGACATCACAGACTGAATTTATGTCTTCTGTAAAATAATATCCAGGGGTAATTAAGCCACATATGTCTTGATATATTCTTTTATTCTACATAAAAATAAATAAATTCTACCACCTGAAAAATTAATTTCCAGCTTAGTGAATCTTGCCTTTCTCAAATAGAAATAAGTAACAGATATATGAAGGAAGAAATGCGCTGTGGTAGCCAGATGGGCAACTGGACTTTCCATCTTAGCCAGATTGCAAGCCCATCTCAAAAGATGACATTACAGAGCCACAATGTTTTTGAGAACTCACACTCGGATCAATAAACCTGCAAAGAGCTAGCTGGCTTATCAGATTTCTACTGACCATGTCAGTGGCCACAAGATCTCTCTCCTGCTCACGCTGTTTACTGCTCTGGCCTGTGGTCTCCCTCTAAAAACATGAAGCTACTGTTGCTGTGCCCCATCCCACTTAAGAGGACAAAAATAAATAGTCTTCCCTCTATGGAGAGGACTGTGGAGATGACACATGGATGTCGGAGATGAAATATTCATGCCCATTTGAAACCACTCGCGCAAGAATGGCACTGGTTTACTTTGTCGATTGGAGTGTGTTTGATGGATGTTAGTGGTGACAAATGTGCAGATGGATGATGTGCATACCTCCCAGAGGCAGCACTGTAAAGACAAATGTGCCCACACAAGCACTAAAACACATAAACACACAGCACTCACACATACAGTCAGATAATGTGTTCAAAGTGGCAGTTTTAGCAACAAAGTCTATGTGAGTGATTAGATTAGGGCTGCAACTAATTCTTTTTGCTTTGTTTTTTATTCAATTAATTGGTTAATGCTTTGTTCCTCAAAATGTCTGAAAATAAAAAATGTCCATTACCATTTCCCAGTTGGACCAACTCTCCAAATAAGGCAGTAATTACAGTACACGTCATCCACAATATTCAAATATGCTCAAAATGACCCCCACCCCCATAGACTGATATATAAAGAAATATATATATATGTAAAAACATTCTATGCTATGGTAAGCAACCACGCTACGCCATCCAAAATCACCAATAAAAATTGAATCATAATCATAGGTAAACTTAGGGAATTGCCATTATTATTACAGTGTGCCGCAGTCTGCGTTTGGTTTGTCCATGTGGTGTTTCTGGAATGTGCTGTAGGTAGGTACAATATGTCAAACAGTGTACTGTCTCTCTGTTTCCCTACTTTAAAATGTATTAAAGCACACAACTAGAATATAATATGAGTCTAATCCCAAAGTACAGCCTCCTGTAGGCCTCTGCATCTTAACATCATTGTTGTTGGAACCTTCAAGATTAACCATTTACTATCATGGCAGACTATAAAAAACTGCAAATACTCACAAGCAGTGCTGGGCTAGTTACTTGAAATTTTTAATGTATTAGTCATTATTCATTAGACTTTTTTAAAGTAATTTATTACTTGACTTATTACTACGTGCCTATAGCAATTAGTTACACTACCAAATACTACACTAATATTACTGTTCTGCTACGCCCCACAAAACTGGTAATTTCTTCTCACCAAAATTCAGACAGAGAAGTAGATTTTAATTGTTTTTTAAAAAATAAAAATTCCAATCAAAATTAGGAATATACAGGTTTATGGATACAGTTAAACCGTAATACAAATATGTGACGTGGTATCAAGGCGCAAAGTCATCAGTTTCACCTCACAAACGGAAATATGCACTGTTTTGCACAGTTTATACACTACCTCAGAAATCAAAAGGATACTATAAATTGATAAAGAAAAATATAAGAGAAAATATATTGATTTTTGTCTGAGAAATAAAGGAATATTTTTTTGTCATCTTCAATCACATTTTGTTTTTTAAACATCGACAGTGAACCGAATATCATGAATTGTATCTTACATTTGGTTACAATGGTAACTATTATTCCATCACAAGTATAGTTATATATACACATTTCTATTATCATCAGCTATTAGACTCTATCCCATACCACCACCTGCTGAGGTGCGTTTACCTGAATCAAGTTATATTTGTATCTATATATAATATATAATATTTGAACAATATTTCCCCCTCAATAATATTTGTATCAGCCTATAAGAGAACAGACTGATCTTCAGTGCATTCATGGTCCACTACACCCCTGAGCAGCTCCATCACGGTTACTGACCTTGCAGGAGAAGTGATGGTGGACAGCCAGGCTCAGAGCTTGCTTCTTCAGAGCAACGAGAGTCGCTGAGCACTTCTCGCAACACGCAACTTTCCTCTCACACCTCCCAAAGCCAGGATTCGCCAACATAGTGCCCCTACATATAGTCCCACTACCGGAGGACATGGTACTCCTGATGCGGTCTCCCAAGGTTCCAGGGAGGGACTTGTAAGACGGGACAGCGTCTGCTCTCTGGCACATATTCCGATGTGGGTCGCCCTTGGTCCCCCCGGCACCCTCAGGAGTAGGGCGCTGCTTGGGCTGGCAGTTTTTCCCGTTAATACTTGCAGAAAAGCCGACGGGCTCACAGTGATGCTGCACTTCTGAGCTCTGAGGAATAAATCAGTGTAAGAAGGATGTATGTGGGCTCTGGCAGTGGGAAATTAGATGTCAATCGACGTGGACAACTGTAACCACACCCAACTGTTTGCCTTGCAGTGCAACAATATTTTTCTTATATCCAACTCTATAAAGACCATGCAGTCTTTTACAAGTGGGAACAAACTGTGCTCATAATGAATAAATGTGACTTACCCAGTGTGTTCCTCTGACCGAGGCAGGAAATCTCTCTCCTCTTCCAGTCAGAGATGACATGACAACTTGTTAATATTTAAAAAGATATCCGAACAAAGGCAGGCTGCACTTTTATTTAATTTTGCCAAAGCTCCATGGATATAAAGAGAAAATATTTCACTCATGGTAAGCTTGAATGAGAAATATGACAAAGTAAGCAGGCTGGAGACAGCGTCTCAGAGATGGAGTGATGATACTGACACAGAGAAAGAGTGAGCGCACTGGAGAACACTTCATGATTTCACTTGGTTATTTATTGTAACCTCCTCAGGGAGGCAGTAAGGAGCAAGTGTTCAAAAAACGGTCAGAGAGAACAGGCTGTTGCACAGTTTGTTAATGGGTTTCACTTGATATAGTAATGTTTTCTTTTCAAAGTTGAATTCCTCTCCCACATAATAGTCATTCATATACAATACTGTGCACCTTATTACAGTCACATGCATGGACGGTGAAGACATGAAACACTTTAAAACTCCTAAAATACTTGAATACTGGAAGTGTAGGTACATTAATATGATGTCAGTGTGCCTTCTGAAGATGTTATAGTTAAGTCGCCTTTTGAGGTCATCTTTCTAGTGATCAGAAAGAAGAGGCAAGGGTTTTTTTTTTTTTACAAAAACGACCTTACTGAATTATGCAAAACAGAGGTGTCAGAGTCTGCACACATGTTGTTCTAAAATTAAAACATAAGGCAGAGACAGTATCAAAAAAATGTTTAAAGGGTTATTACAGCAATTTAGTACTGCCCTTCTTGAAGCTTGAAGGGGGGCAATAGAATGGTTGATTGAATGATTGAGGCTGAGATATTTTGGCTTTCAGTCCCTAGTTATTTTCTCAGACTGGAGTTAGAACAGAAGACATTACACAACTTTTTCTAAAGATAAAAATAAAACATGAATCAAAAGTTATTTTCTCCTCTATATATTTTTTTAACTAATCATTTAGGTTTCTATTTTCCCTTGGAAGACACAAATGTTTACACTATACTGCCTATTTCGTACAAGGAACATTTGTCCTACATTAATTAAGGTAAATAATATTGTACATTACGGTATTCTGTATCTTATCCTAATACTCTTGCTAGAAGCATGATGCTGGGCTATTTAAACACAATTCCCATCTAAAATGCATCGTGCAATATTCTTTACGTATTTCCAAACATACACACATTTTGCAAATAAAGATAATCTGAGTAATGTGTTGTTAGTGTGGATTTCTTTTGTCCCACGACGCTTTGTATGGGATTGTTTTTTGTTATTACGGCAGTGACAGATGGTCGGCGGCCTATATAACCAAGCTGCGTTGCTCTCTGGGTAATTACGGTAGGGGACGTCATCCTCCTCCCCCACACCGCAGGCTCTGCATAGCTCTCTTACCGGTGAAAGATTGGTCGGACAGCGCGGGTGCCATTTGGCGCAGATTTGAGCTACAACCGTTAACAAAGGGCGTCCAGTTATATATTTATCGTCGTATCTGTGCTTTTTATTTAATACATCTCACCGTCAAACATTCACAATGAGCTCAATTAACGTTAAAAAGCTGAAAGTGAACGAGCTGAAGGACGAGCTTAAAAAGCGTAATCTTTCGGACAAGGGGCTGAAGGCCGAGCTGATGGACCGCCTGCAGGCCGCGCTGGACGAGGAGGCCCTCGCCTCCCCGCTGGACCAAGAGGCTGCGGCGGACGAGGGCTTCGGCCAGGCCGCCGATCAAGAAGGTATGGGAGAGGAAGAAGAGGGCGATGGCCCGATAGAAGAAAGCATGGAGGCCAACGAGGAGGAGGAGGAAGAAGAAGAAGAAGAGCCGGAAAATGGGGGCGACGGTGATGCCGTTGCCGAGGACGAAGAGATGGGTGAGGGGGAAGAGGACGGGGACGGGGAAGGGGAAGAGGACGACGAAATGGATCCCATGCTCAAGGGAGATGTGGACGACATGGAGAAAATCGACGCAGAGGACGGTGAGCCCGGGGACCAGGCTACTGAGGGTGAGTCGACTGAACTGGTTATGAAAATGTGACTGGCTGGATGGACTGTGGCTGGGTGTCGGTTTTTGCTATAACGTTAGCGCTAATGCTACCGCGGGAGGGAGCCGGCTGGGAATGACCAAATTTGAATGCGTAACCACACAACAGAGCGTCCATGTTGAGCTAACGCTACACAGCGTGACCTCACTAGATTAACGTTAGCAAGCGTTAGCCACAAACCGAAACAATTAGCCCGTTAGCTAATGTAACGTTAGCATCGGTCACCACCTTGATTAGCTAATCGTTTTAGTATCGACAAATATCGATAGTTCAGCCCACAAACGTTAACTTTATTAACAGTAGTTCACAATTGACTGTCGTAAGATACAATTACTAAGTGAAGTGAGCATTAAGATAATAATTTAGCCTAGTCTGGCTTTTCGTTTCGCTTGGTTAGCGTGTTAGCTTGCCAGCTAACGTCATTTTCTTTGTGTCTGTGGTGCAGTGCTAACTAGCTAATCAGCCGGTTAGCTAGTTCAGTGGTTCCCATATTGACGTTTCACTACGAGTGGTGGGGTGTTAATGCGCCAAGATAAACACTTTAATAACATACATTAAAATTATACTTGGTGAAAGCAACATATTTTAAGTGTTAAAGCTTTGCTGCAGTGATTACTGGATGTCCTCCATCTGCTGCTGTGTTCATTAACCTAGCTTAAGATCAGAAAGGACAATTGGGCAGTTCCAAAATAAGACCGATTAAACTCAAATGTCTAATTCTTTGGTAATGACCAGACAGAAGATCTACATTATGCACTGACTGTGTATTTGACTTCTGTGGGGCCGGGAACACTTGAACTAGCTAACTCAAAGCTGTGCGGAAGATGTGGCAGGCGCTGAACTGCTTGACAAGCACGTGGTTAAGATTGTCTGTACGTGGTTTGTATAGAAAGTGTCATCTTGTTGGAATAAACATAGAAAATGTAGGTTTACAATGATTAGCCACCTAGGTAATTGGGGGCCAGATATGGGGGAGGGGGGTCAGTTAAGGTCTATGTAGGTTTTCCCATTTCCTTGCATGATGCATTTTTCCCAGACCACAGTAGACTTGTCCTCTTAATGAAATAGACTTAAATCTGAATCTTATTTAAAACAGAATATTCTAAGCCCTTTTTATTGCAGGGTTAATGTCCCTCTACTTTGCAGAGACTCATTTTTTCCAGCCCCAGCAAACACTGTTCACAATGTTCATTTGGACCAGCTTGCATTGTAATTACTATCTGGTCATTAGGGCTGTTAACAATTTATGCAGTATATGATATGTGTTGTTCAAGTGTAATCATGAGGTGTTACCTCCCAGTTAACTTAATATTGATGATTATGGTCGACAATATGTAACTAATGAACGGGCTTTGTGGGCCAGAACCCCACTGCCAGTCCGACCTCTCTCACACAAAAAGGAGCACCTCATTCTATATCTTTGTTCTATTTTCAAAGGGGATGCGGACAAAGACACGAATGCTGATCAGAAGAATAAGAAGGGTGTTAAGAGACGCCGGGAGGAACATGGAAGGGGCTACTTTGAATTTATTGAAGAGAACAAATACAGCTGGTAAGGATGGGACAGAGCAAAAATGGCCTTCAGCATCCCTGAAGCGCCATCCATAGCTTTGTTAAACTGTATTGGCTTTAAGTGCCAATGCACATATAACTAGCAAGAGGAATACCCTCATTTTCAAGTATTCTATTTATTAATAACCTTACTTTCACACATGTTTTGAGGGTCATCTCTGACTACTTAAAGAGCCTTACCTTTTACAGTGCCCGCTCACATTTGTGTCTTTAATGAACTGCATTCTGTAGCAGAAGTGCAACTATCAAGTCTCTATGAATTTTCACATCTGTTCCTCATGCCACTTATTGTTTTGGAAAGCCCATTGTGTCCTCAAGGTGAAACAAGGCTGCTCAAAGAACAAACCCAGAGGAAAGTAGCAGATGTGCACTTTTGAATGAAGGGAGGGAGGGAGGGAGGGTGAGAAGGTGAGAAGGAATAGCTGAGAGGCGCAGGAGGAAGGGTCCACTGCTGCAGGGTAGCACACATAGATGTAGCAAAATTCCCAAAGTGTTTGGAACGTCCACAGAGGAGCTCGCTATTGACCGTCCATCGTTTTTCCCTCGCAATGGTCTTTAAAAAATATATATATATATTTTCTATTCTTTTGTTTGGTTGTATGACGTCAAAATGCTATTTCTGTCTCATGTGTCATGTCTTGTGTGTATGTTCTCATGGTGTGAGTGTGGATGTGTTTGCAAGGCTCTTTTCTACCCTTGCGCAGGTGGCATCACGCATGGTGTGCATGGGTGTTTGAATGTACGTGTGCATACGTGTACCTACTTATGGTCAGTGTTTTATTTTCATTGCGCTGTTGAGACACTAAGGAATTAAGTGGCAGAAAAAGGAAATCGCTTTTTTTATTATTCACCCAACATTTTTTTTACTATACGTTTTGGGAAAAGTCGGACATTTTGTGGATTTTTGGGGCACCAGAATTGTTGACACATGATAGTTCTGCTGCCCTTTTTGGGTGCCTCCTCCCCCCTATAATCGAACAGCCAATTTTATTTTAATTTTTTTGCAAGCGACCATTCGTTTCCAATTTTGACAGTTATTCCTTCGTTTCCCATTATAATATTTTCCCCAACAATAGAGCTTAAAATCTACCCAATGTTAAACCAGTCGCCCCTGGGCAGCCACAGGCCTGTAGAGCAGCATCTGGAGATGTTAATACTGCTGAGAATGGGATGTTTAACCCCAATCTTCCTAAAGAATAACCCTACTCCACTGGACTTGGATCCTTGCTTCAGGTTGAACAATGCTTAAGCATCCTTGGAATGTTTGCCTTCTTCACAACATTTTTGAGTAGTTTCTTAAACTTCCCCAATAAGAGATTTTAGGTACCTAATCTCAAGCCTACAGAGTTGGTAAGTTGCTGTAGCTTCCAGTACACTGTGATTGCTCATGTCAAGCAGCCAAGCATGGTGACAACTTGTACTGCATAGTTACAGTTACACAGAACAGTGAGTTAGTCATGACCTTTTCATTTAGAATTCCACACATGGGAAGTTAAATATAACTCAACCCGCCATCACTTTTGACTGCCCCATAGCAGTCCTGGAGATCATAAACACACTGGTCTCAAAGGGGGAGAGGTCTGCTTTGATTTGATCACTTTCACCAATGGATAGCATGTTAAGGCTAGCGGAGGTGCTTTCTTTTCTGTGTATCTCTCACGTTTTAGATTTCGCTGGATACTGCAAGGTAAGTGTTGTCTGCCACGGCCCACAATACAGATAACTTTTGTTTGGAGGCCCGCTTGCCCAATTTACTGTCTCTATTTTGTATTGTTTCCCCTAGTTGTCTTTCCACTTCTTTCCCTAAATATTTTTCAGAAAGTGGTACCCAAAGCATCTATATGTACGATGCGGTTGCATTGACAATTGGTATCTCTTTTCAGGGCCTCATTTAAGTCTCCTGTGCCCCCTCTGGAGGAAGAAGATGAGGAGTTTGATGACACAAAAGTCTGCCTGGATGCCTGTAAGTGATTTTGATGTGAAATAACTTTTTTTTTTTAAAAGGATTTAAAATTGTAATGGTAGGAAGACATAAATGACAGCTAGCTAGAACATTAACCACACATTGTTTATGAGAGACCTTTCTGGATGGATACAGATATCGATGACTTTTTTTTGTGTGCTCTAGACAACTGCGACCTGCACTTTAAGGTGTCACGGGACCGTTACAGTGCCTCATCTCTCACAATGGAGAGTTTTGCTTACCTGTGGTCCGGCGGCAAGGCCACCTACGGCGTGAACAAAGGCAAAGCCTGCTTTGAGATGAAGGTACGTTCACGATGTTGACTTGTGGTGCAAGTTGCACTGCACTTTAATTTTTTTATTATATAGCTAAACTTTAAAGAGCGTCTACAAACAAGGAGTAAAATGGTCCAATTAGTGTAGTGGAAATGACCCCTGATATCTCATTCACATGTTTTGCTTCATGTTAACAGATTACAGAGAAAATTCCTGTGAAGCACATTTCCAGCAAGAACATGGAGATTCATGACGTGCAGGTCGGCTGGTCCCTGTCTACTGGCACCCTGCTCCTTGGTCAGTGTCTTTATGTATGCTTTAGCTCTACAGGCGTCTGTATATTACACTGGCCGTGTCATTCAGGCATTCAGTTTCAGTGGAATGAAGCATTGAGTCCAGCTGGAACTTTCCGTTTACACTTGGCAACATTTGTTCCACTCCTCGCCAGAATACTTTCTACTTGGTCACATAACACACGCTGTGTACTGAAAATGTTTGCGCCTTTATGTCTATAATGACCTAAACACTATGGGATATCTTTATCTCTTTGATAAACAAAATGGTGACCCAGCCATTTGCTATGATTCATTCATGCAGAATTCTGAATCTGCTCCAAATACTGTATGTTTTTGAATGGTCTTAACAATGCTTTGCTTTAATTGGGCGTCTGCACAAAAGTGAGCCATGTCTACAAACATGTAACACAAACTGTACCAGTTTTGTTTTTGCATGAAGGTCAGCCAAATAAGATGACAGTAAAAACTGAGGCTGCTCTGATCCTATAGGAAAGACACTCTGTCCCAAGAGGTCCCTCTAGTGGTTCATAAGTAGCATGACACATTGACATAAAATGGTTCCAGCTCTGGCTTTACTGAGACATGATGTGTTAAAATGTTTTTTTGGTCAATTAATGTGTTCTCCAATTAATGTTTAGGTGAGGAGGAACATTCTTATGCATACTCTGGAAAAGGCAAGAAGACCACCAACTGCGTGACTGAGGACTTTGGAGAAACCTATGAGGAGAATGATGTCATCTGCTGCCTTATTGTAAGACATAAATGCTGCTTATATTTATCGGTTCATTAAAGTAAATGAAAACAAAGCCAAAGTAGACTTACAATGGGTCAGAAGCTTACAGGATAGTTCTCTATAGAATAAGTTAACTACACATTGTTCCCTTGTTTAATGTATATCAGAAATGACAGGAACCTCATCGGATATTTTTATCAATGTCGATGAAAGAATTCACACATGACAAACTGCCGCCTGTCTTTGGTTTCTTTGTGCAGGACTTTGAGGGCGAGGAGGTGGTGTTGTCCTTCTCCAAGAATGGCGGGGAGCCGGCCATCGCTTTCCAGGTCAGCAAGGACTCTCTGAACAGCCAGGCCCTCTTCCCTCACATCATCTGCCACAATTGTGCTGTAGAGTTCAACTTCGGCCAGATGGAGACTCCATACTTCCCTCAGCCCCAGGGCTACACTTTCCTGCAGCAGATCCCCGTGAGTGACAGAGTCCGGGGGCTCAAGGGGCCACAGACCAAGGCTGACTGCGAGGTAAGCATAGTAATGTGTAGATATTCTTTTAGTTGTGCAGTTAAATGTGTCCATTGATATTCCTTATATGCAGTGTGTTTTTAAAGTACTTTTTTTTGGGGGATCATAATTTTGTCCTTGCTTTTAATCATATGTAGATCATAGTGATGGTTGGCCTGCCTGGCTCAGGGAAGACTACATGGGTGAAGAACCATGTCCAGGAGAACCCTGGGAAATACTACATCCTAGGCAGTGACACCATTGTGGACAAGATGATGGTCAGTACTGATACAGCTGTGTGGTTTAGTCTTACTATTCTGTTTTTTTCTTTTATTTTTCTTGTTTAATGTCATGTCTTCATTCCATTACTCAATACAGATCAACAGCCTGAAACGCCAGTCAAAGGATATCACAAAGCTAACTGCCATTTCCCAGCGAGCACCACTTTTCTTGGGAAAGTTTATTGAGATTGCTGCCCGCAAGAAGAGGAACTACATCCTGGATCATGTAAGGGGCTGGCACTGAATTTGATTAGTGTTTATCACAATTATATGGCTATGTATACAAAGTTATTTTATTGTATGCTTTGTGTAATGGTAGAAAGAGTTCCTTTAACATCATGCGCTATAAATCAGAGCATAATTGAGCCTCTTTCTCCTCTCCCCCAGACTAACCTGTCTGCCCCAGGCCAGAAGAGGAAGATGTGCTTGTTTGCAGGTTTCCAGCGCAAGGCAGTGGTAGTCTGCCCCTCTGACGACGACTACAAGCAGAGAGTCCAGCAGAAGGTTGAGAGTGATGGCAAAGAAGTGCCTGAGCACGCTGTCCTCAAAATGAAAGGTAAAAAAAGAAAATGCTTGGACCATGAAGTACCTCTACTGGGTCTCTTTCTGTCAGATTCAGTCTTTTTCTTATTCCATCCTCTGGCATCATGTTCTGTTTTTTTCCCTTCTGTTACAGGTTTCTACTCTCTGCCGGAAGAGGGGGAGAGCTTTAATGAGGTCATCTATGGTGAGCTGCAGAAAGAGGAAGCTGCCAAGCTGCTGGAACAGTACAAAGAGGAAAGCAAGACCGCTCTGCCAGCTGAGAAGAAACCCAACCAGGGAAGCACAACGCCAAAGAGAGGCGGTGGCCTACGTGGTGGTGGCCGGGGTGGCAAGAACCAGTTTGGCCGCGGCGGCGGACCTGGACAGAGAGGAGGCGGCCGTGGCGGCTTCCAGAACAGAGGCAACTTCAGAGGAGGTATGATTGATGTATTTAATACCATTTTAGAAGATAATTTTTCTTTTGTGGATCATTATGGAAACCCATTGATCCCAACCTGTACTTCTTCTGATCTTTCTGCAGCTCCTGGTCCTCGCGGTGGCTACAACCGTCCACCTCGCGGCTTCCTGCCTCCCCCAGCGTTCAGAGGAGGATTCCATAACCGTGGAAACTTCAACCGGGGTGGCGGCCCCATTCCCAGCCTGGGTGGATCACCCAGGGGTGGCCCAATGAGGGGTAACATGGGACCGAGAGGGGGACCCATGAACAGAGGCGGCCCAATGCACAGAGGAAACATGAACAGAGGAGGCGGAGGCAACATGAGTCGTGGTGGTAACAGGGGACATCCTGGCCAGGTGGGTTTGATCATAGCACTAGTGCCTGTTCGTTTTTTTTACCCGTGTGTGAGATAATACGGTTTTTGACCTTTTTTTAGTTTTCAGTAAATGTGTCTGCCCTAGCTCCTCAAATGGCTGAAGCCTTGATATTGAATATGTTGATCCATAGTCAAGTTTGTGGTCTGCTGTATGGTGATAATTTTCCTGCCTTTCTCTAGTTTCATCAAAGAGGTGGTAACCGTGGCAACTTTGGCAACAAGAATGGCAACTTCGGTAACAACAGGAACAGCGGCAACTTTGGTGGCAACAGGAACGGCATGGACAAGGCCCAAGCCTTCAACCAGAGCTGGCAGCAAGGGGTCAGTATTTCTGCGGTTGAAGGTTGCACCACTCACATTAACTACAGAAAGCCAAAATCTATCTTGTATATGAAACTATACAGGCCGAGTGAAGATTTCAGTCATTAGTATGTGTGTAAATAGCTGAAAAGTGACTTAGCCCGGTGTTTTTTTTTTTTTTTTTTTCAAGAGCAATTGTTTCATTGCTATCCTTGTTTTTTGCTTCTTTTTTTTTTTAAATGTGTTTAATATTCTGATAAATCCTGTCTCTCGACCAAGATATGAAAATTCCATTACAATTATTAAAGGGCAAAACCTTTCCATCAGAGCAGTTTTGGATGTAAAATCCCCCTTTTTTTCCCACATCAGATTGTTTCCTATTTTATCTCTGCTAAAGTTCAAGAAGCTTGTATACAGGGACTTTCTATGGTCAGTGTTTTCCAATATCCACTCTGATCTTGGAGCATCCTTGCATGTACAAATGAGGAACACTCTTCCAACCAGTCCCTGTAACTGTAGCCAGACCAGAGCAATAAAATGTTTAATGCTGTGCCAATCTTTCTGTCCTGTGCAGTTCTGGAACCAGAAGCCGTGGAGCCAGCAGTATCAGCCTGGATATTACTAAAACACTTGTTCTAACGGACTGGTGGCCGACACTGAGACCCACCGCTAGCCACGGAACATCCCTCCACCCCGCTTTTTGATTTCTTTTCCTAGAACCCACTTTTTAATCTAAACCCCACCAACTGAAGACTAAAGTGATAATGGAGCAACAACATTCCACACCAGAGAGGAGACCAGACAACCTGAGTGTAATTGAAGCTTTATATACACACATGTACAACGTGGGTTCAGTCTCATCCAATCATCTGCTTATTTCTTTTGTTGTATATTTCATTGTTTGTTTTTTTTTTCACCAATTTTAAATGACGTGCTTTTAAAAAAGTCTCATGTTTGTAATATCAGGAACTAGAAACATTTTGCCAGCCTGGCAGATGTTAAGAAAGTTTTTTTTTTTTTTTTTTTCAGGGTTGTGCATTTTATCTGTGCTGTGATTTTTTGTTTTGCTTTTTTTATTACAAATTGTAAATATCTTTTCTCTTTTTTTGGTGTAGTTTGTATGCGAAGTTTAAGAAAGTAATGATGGAAAGGAACCTTGGCTTATTAGCAAAAAGCATGGTAGGCGATTATATTGTTAGACTGTACATGTCAATATAGTCCACTGTCAAACCGTTAAACTGAAGCAACAAATGAATTATAGCAAGTTTTTGTCTTTTGTTCCCAGTATCAAACCTGTAACCCAAACTCCATAGACCTACAATAAACAACTCGTTTGCTTTTTTACATTCTTCCTGGCTTATGACTTTTGATTCGGTTCAAAGGTGTGTAAAAGACCTTTGAATGGGCGATGTCCTAGTTTGCTACTTCAAACAGTAAGGACATCAGCCCCACTACAGGCCCCAGTTTACACCTCATTAGTAAAGTATTTGATATGTCATCTCGAATCCTTTTAGATATTCTAATGTGCATTACTTTGAAAGTATTTTGGCCAAGCCATTTCAAGGATACAAGTAAGCCATTTTTTAGTACTACATTATGCCTTTTTTAATTCATTTGTTTTTCAATAAGTCTTTAATTTATTTTGAAAAATTAGGGAACTGACTACACTTGAATCTCAGGAGGAAGTGTGGTTCCTAGATTGTCTTTTATCAACGGTTCCTTTAGTGCAGTAGACTTCTGAAAAACAGCACTGATCAGACAAATTACAAACTAGAACAGTTTTTAAATTTATATTGACACCACTGTTTGACTTTTGAACAAATTTCTGATGCTGGTTCAGCACAAAGGTGATTGAAAGCAGGCAGGGTTAACTCATTTTCACCAGCAAACCTAAAGGGCTACACAGCATCACAACACATTAACACTACCAACAGTTCGTGAAGACCTCCAAAAGGAAAAGGAGCAGAGAGGAACGTTTTTGTCAACTTTAAAAGGCGTTTTATTACGTTGTTTGGAAGCACTCTGGAGTTCATGTTGGTGACTGTGTGGCCCGGCAATAATGGCAGCTCCTCATCCAACTGCTCCATAATGTGTCCCACCGCATTGTGCTGGCAGAGGACACCAAGCTTGTGTTTCAACAGTAGAACATCCAGAGCTGGAAAAATAAACCGTTGCGTTAGATCAGATGAAATGTGGTCGTGTGTGTCCATTGCTTTTATTTCTATTCCTACCTGTGTTGATATTTCAGAAACGTGTAAATACTCTCACCACTATTTCAACCATGCACGAATGTCCATGAATTAATTGACTTCGAGTAATAACTGTATTGTGATTTAAGAAAGTGTTAGTTTGCCCAAGTACTGCTGTGTGATGAATTGTCGACTATATTTAAATGTCCGGAGAGTTTGTGCCCTCCTGTTTTATTGTACTGGATAAATCTAGCAGAATGCAAGCTTTGAGTTTACAGTATAATCTATAATACAACAGACGCTATATTTTTATCGCTTTACGTTGCAGGTTGTATATCAGGTCTTTTATGATTAAACCAACAATGCAAAAGCTTTGAGACTTTTTGAGATTTGTTGTCTTTTATATCTGACAGTTTTTTGATATTTGTGTTTAGAAATTTGGGATTGTATTTTCTTTTTCAATTTGTCTCAACTCTATTAAAGTTAAAGAAGCTGGTATAAAGTGACTGGTTTGTTTCAGTGTGTATAATAAGTGTTCGCCTCTCAAACGTTTTCAGCTTTTATTGTCTCAACAACATTGAATCAGAGATTTAATGTGACTTTTAACAAAAAGATCATTTAATGGGGTTTTTAAGCGAAAGCAGAGCTCTACCAAGTAATTACAAATAATAACATTACATTATGAGATGCAGTTTTGACATTACAGCCTTAAATCAGTTAAAATCTAATTCTCAGTTGGATTGTCGACTTACTCATGACATTAAAGGTCCCCACCAGACATTATGTGTTAAGACATATATACAAATAGTATGCTTGTGACGGTAATGTGTGATTTTTTTTTTTCTATTACTGTGAAGCATTTACCCCAAAAAACAAAAACTCCTGAGCTTCTTGCACCGAGTACCAGCGCTGTGCTTCGTCAGGGTGCTGACTTCAGAATCTCCCAGTGTATTCTGGGAAACTGTAGCTGAGATATGTGAGTTTTTAGCCATGCCAGCAGCAATAGCGGCTTCCAGGGGAGGACATTTGAATCTGTCGGTCTGTCACTTTGGTCCAGACGGAGTATTTCAACGATTATTGGATGGATTAGGATGAGGTTGTGCCCCTAGAGGATCAATGTTACTGACTTTGGTGATGAACTGTAATAACTTCTACATAGAGTGATGATTTATGACTTATGACCGATTTCAGCCTCAGCTGCACATTGTGTTTAGTGCTAATTAGCAAATGTTGCTAACGCAGTAAACTGAGTTACAGCTGTGTCTTTCCATTTCGTAATGAGTGATTGAACTGATCTTCAGTGACTTGGAAATGTCCTTTCAGCCATATTCCAATTTTGCCTTTTTAATCATCTTTTTTCCTTTTTTTTGGAGTGTTAATTCGTCTTTATATGGTAGGGTTTGCCTCAATACTGACTTACCAAAAGCCATCCAGATACAGGTGTATTCATACTACAGAAACAGGTGTGAAACAGGTGTATTCAATTATAGATAGAGGTGTATTTATATTACAGTTGATTTCCATTTAATTATCTATATGACTTCTAAAGCCAGTTGGCTGCAGCACTAGTGATTTGGCCTTTTTAAAGGAGATGAATATGCAAATGTGTTTTTGTATTTAGTATTTGTAATTAATTTATAATTCATTTAGATCACTTTGCAGGGATCTGTTGTGAATTTAAAGGAGTTTTTTTCCGTTCATCTCTGTCAAGAAAGACAATTAAATCTACTTTAATGTTGTAAAATAACATACTTTTTACTCAGTTTCTTTTGGAGGAGTAGTAGATTAGTATTAACTTCATTCTTTACAGCTCCACTTGTGTTTCTTATCCCTCACGCCTCTTGGTGTTGCTGGAGGTGTATGTTGGGAATCCACTTCCCTCCCAGACAGACAGCTGCTTGTCTTCGGCAGGGCAGCGTGTTTACCTCCATCAGCAGCATATTATTGAATGACAAGACCCCCCACTCAGGCAGCAAACAGTGCATTAGGTATTGGCCCTGATTACCAATGTTTGGCCCGGTCTAAGTCTGATGTAAACACATTTTAGCTTAATGTGAATTGACTTCATGTTTCTCTGTATGTGGCCCTGTAGCTCCTTCCCACTGTAAATAAAGCATTACAAGGGGGTTATTGTCAATGACAGGGTCCCCTCGGTGTTACAAACGTTATAAGTCATTAGGCAAATTATTTGCTCTGCTCTACAATTTCCTATAAGTGTAAATAAAGAGGTGAATAAAGAGGCAGCTGTATGTGACTGCATGTGAATGTGATCATGAATGTGAATGGGGGGGCCAGACAGCCACGCTCGACAGCAGGAGGAAGAGGAAGAACTCTTAAGTGAAACAAAATATTTTATTTTCCAAACATAGACTCATCCATATTATGTACAGCTTGAAAATATAACACATGAGACAGAAGTTGAATGACTGCCGCAGATTCAACACAACTCACACAAATTCGAATAAAAAAAGATATAAAAATTTACAAAATATATAAAAGTGCTTGTGGAAGGAGACGGAGCTTAATGGCAGCCGGGCTGCCTGTTGTGTGTGAAACTCCCAATAAAATGTCCATTTAAATAGAAAGTACTAGACGTGTTGTTTAAAACCATTAAATACATCAACACCCCAATGAAAAAACACCATAATACTCCTACACTTCCCAGCAGTCTGTGATTATAGGATTACTACAGCTGTTTTCCATGACTTCATACTATGGACACATTGTCCATCGTGCAGGCACACCTCTCTACGATCATATTGGGGAATTCAGCAACTTCTATCTCGGTGTAGTCCCCCTTCTTCACCAGGTACATGATGGGTAACGGGGCGCTCTCAGACACTGAGCACCGCCTTTCTCCATAGCCGTAGTTTCGCTTGGGCTGCTTGCAGCCTCCGGTGCACCTGAAGGCCTGGTAGCCTGCTGGCTCGATGATCCAGTACTGCGTCCATGTGAGGGCACGGAAGTTGATGAAGTACTTTTCCCTGCAGCAGGTGTCTTTGTTTTGGTTGACGTCACAGTCGCCACGAGAACTAAGGAAGAAAGAATAAAAATAAGTTAGATGGCTGCTGCACAGTGAGGCCCATGAGGCCCAGAATCTCTTAGCTACACCCCTGCTGGCCATAATTATCCAGCTATGATGTGTATTCTTTTTTAGAGGATGAATCTACATACATATGCCCAATTGAATCTGTTTATAAGTAATAACTGTAAGTACAAAGAGTCAGAACTATTAAACACTAATATGTTAAAGAAACTAGATGTGCTATATGGCAATACTCTGCTGCTACCTTTCTCCAGACTGAGAATGAGTAAACTGACGCCCCAGTGTCACACTACTACAAATCTACTAATGAATTCAAATGGTGACAGGTAAGAAGAGTAAAAAAAAAATAGGATATGGGCTACTTTTCACACTGATACAATAGCCTGTATATCAAAAGTTCGCGCCCTTACCCGTATTCTTCAAGGTTGAGTGTGTAGAGGATGAGCTCGGGCTTTCCCAAGGTGTTGTCCGTCTGCTCCTGGGTGGTAAAGCGCACACTCTTGGCCATCTCTGCCGCGTAGCTGCCAGGTCTCTCGCCCTCGATCCACACCTCCAGGTGCATAGGTGTCTTCTGCTGGGTCTTGGACCAATAGTGCACCGCCTGGGTCACATCAAAGCTCTTCCAGCCGGTCTCGTGAATGGGGATCAACCTGTGAGCACGAGATAAGGGCGATTAATTAAAATGAGATCAAAAAGAATATGTCCGGGAGGAGGAATGCAATTGAATTACTATTAAGATAAGGCTGATGAGGCTCTGCATTGAATATATTTTCCCTTACCGTGAATCTACCAGCGATGTGCGGTTGGATCCGTTTGGCAGCACCTCCACCCAGTAGATGCTGACCCGGGCGTTGTTGACGGGCCGGTGGTTCTTCCTCTCCACCGCGAAGCGTTTGTGGTAGGAGACCCGCTGGTAGAGCTTCAGCTCCGCCATGGTCACCTCGCTGTTGTCCGGGATCCTCGCCTCCATGTCGAACACCATGCGATGCCGAGTGGTGTCAGAATACACATACTCCCCAGAAATATCTAAAGCACAAAGCATCACAGGCATTTTAGGGGATTGTTTCTCTCACACAGCTTTTGTAAAGGCAATTAGGTGCGTAAAATAGTCTTT